TGGTGCACTATTGTGAGTAGTGTGATGAAATCTCTCACCCTCCTGCCTTGGTCCACTGGATGGCAATGAGTCACTGCGTAGAGCTATTAGAGCAACTGTGGCAGTATTACAATGCTTGTGTTCAAGTGACCCTTATTGTACTTTATAATGGCCCCAAAACACAGGGTAGTGATGTAAGATTTTCGAACTATAGTTGGCTCTGAGTAACTGAAACTGTGGAAAATGAAACGGGGGCAAAGGGAAAACTACTGTACTTCTAGCCGTATACTGTTTCTCACCAGTTATATAAAATGGTAATATATTATTAGCCATTACTGTAGCATGCATTAAGTCAGGTTGTTCGCATAGTAATTTCAAGTTACATGATTCACCCATGTATATGTAAAGATCTTCCCAAAAGTCTTAGTGAAATTGTAAGATTTAATACTTTTGGGAGGATAAACGCTACAAATTTTTATATAAAAGTTTCAAACAAACTTTATTTAAAAGCGTAATGACTTACATATATTTTACATTTATATAGCTTTGTTAATTTTGAATAATACTTTATAAAATTTTTAGTTTTTAGTCCCTCTGGTTGAAGATGGGAAATGTTGACTGAAACAAGAAATTAAGTCTTTTCAGACAACTTGCATTTCCAACTTGGGTTTATTAAAATGCTTAGTAAATAACCAGGATTGTGGCTGTGGCCATTACCAAATTTGAAAGAAAAAAGTGGCTTGAAATGAAAGTGCATTGCAGTTCCAGTAACAAATAACTTTTTTATTTAAGTTTACTTTATTCAGAAACTTAAAGTTGGAGTTACCATAAAAATATTTTTTTCCTGAATCAATAGGTTATTGTTACAACCAAAAAAATTTTCTACATAAATACAACAAACCATCAAAGTTGAGAAATTAACAATGCATCTAATCTTCAGACTCCACCCAAGTTTTGCCAATTGTCCCAGTAACATTAGTCTTTTATGGAGAAAGGAACCAGCTCAGACCATACATTACATTTAGTTGTCACGTCTCTAAGCTCCTCCAGTCTGGAATGGATCCTCTGTCTTTCCTTGACTTTCACGACTTTAAGAGTTTTGGGTATTACTTTTGTGGCATGTCCCTCAATTTGTTTTTTCTTCATTATTTGATTCATGTTATATATATTTGTTAGAAGTATTACAAGAGTAACACTGTAGTTTTGTCATTTCATCCTATTAAATGGAATAAAATTTCTATTTAACCCACTGCAATGGAATGTCATTGAAAATGACCACTTGATTAATGTGACATCTGCGAGACTTTTCCACTGTAAATTACTCATTTTGCTTTCATTATTCAATAGTACTTTCTGGGAAATTACTTTGGAATTATGTAAATACCCTTCCTTATCAAATTTTTAATTGGTTCATTATTTAGCTCATGATTATTTTATTCCCTTACTGCCTTTATTATTATGATGCCCAAAATTTTGCAGATTTGGCCAGTGGTGTTCCCTTCAAGCTGGCTTTTGTGCCCATTTGGTATGTTCCCATTATTTTTTTAGTACTTTCTTGCTTTTTGCTTCAAAAGATGTTCCACTTTTAATTGTCCCTTTCCTTTCCTGTCCTGGCCCTAAAATCAGACATTTTTTCAAGGAACCTTGGTTTTTTCAGTGGAGAATGGCATCTAGAAGCCAAGATATGGGCAAAAGCTGTGCTCATTATTAGGGTTGTCTTAGTTTGAGCTGCCATAACAAAATACCATAGACTGGGTGGTCTAAGAAATTAATATTAATTTCTCACAGTTCTGGAGGCCCGATAACAAGGGGCCGGCAGCTTGGGTTCCTGGTGAGAGTTCTCCTCCTGGCTTGTAGGCAGCTGCCTCCTCTGTGTTCACATGCTGTTTTTGGTGCACACATATGGAGGTAGAGAAAATGGTCTGGTGTCTGTTCCTCTTCCTGCAAGGGCACTTATCACATCATATGGGTTCCAACCTTAAGACCTCATCTAAACCTAATTACCTCCCAAAGTCCTCACCTCCAAATACTATTATTAGAGCTTCAACATATGAATTGTTGGGGGATACATTCAGTCCATAACTGTCAGTTCCTGCTGCCACTCCCTCTCAGAGGAAAGCTAGTGTCTAAATCCATTAGGTTGGTACAAAAGTAATTGCAGGTTTTGCCATTACTTTTACTCTTTCTTTATATAAATAGAGATAGATATAGATGATGTAGATATAGCTATATCAGGCTGCTGTAAAAGTAATTGTGGTTTTTGCCATTAAAAGTAATGGTGAAAAACGATATTTATATACAGATAAAGAGCAAAATATATCTATACTTATTATAGCTATTTATTGTATTCTTTACAGATACTTACAATTCTATCTAGATATTGAAAACCATGAGTGCACACAAATACTTCCAACTCCATACCAGAACACTTCTTTCTTGTTCCCTCTATTTGAATCCCTGTAACTCCCTTCTCCAACAGTGAGAAGCCTGGTTCCTATTATTATGGATATATTTTCTTGTTTGACTCATAACCCCATGGTGACCCACCTCTTATATCTGCCTCTCCCCCTCCCCATGAGGATGCCCTCCTTACCCTCCCCATGTTCTGATACCTCATACTAGGCCACCTTCCAACATATGAATGTCCTCCTTATCCCACAAGGACTTGAACTGCCCATTCTGGGTTACACCCCCCACATTAGATGCCCTTCTCACCCTTTCTGGGCTCTAAGTCACCATGTCATAACCCCTTCCCCCATCGTGTGGTAACCCTACTCACCCTCTCTGGGTTCTGACATTCCACTGTGTTCTTCCCTCCTCTGTGTGGATTCTTCCTTTACTCCCCCTTCACTCCACTCAAACTCTTAGGCCCCACTTCAGGTCATGGACCACCACGGCTCCCCCTCAGTTCCCAGTGGTTCACATGCCTACCTTGTTCTCTTTCACCTCTAGGACTGACTTATTTATGAAGAAAAGGGAAGAGGAAGAGTCCAAATAATTCCTAAATATGTGTGTTGTAGAGATGACCTTTGCTAAATCCTGTTGAATTAGAAGAATGAGCCAAAGACAACATTTGTATGGTTTCAAATGCTGCTAATTTTGCTATACATCACTCTTCATGTGGGGGAGGCAGTTATATTTACTCGTAAACACCCCTTAAGGCTTTGCTTTGAACATGGTAATCCTGCTAGAGTTTGGATGAGAAAAAGATAGCATTTATTGGAGCAAAGAATGGATTAAACAGGAAAAGTAACTAGGAAGAGCTACCTATTAAATCTCATCTCACTTTGCTTCTTCATGCATTCCTCAAAATAAATTGCTATACAGATTAGTCCCAGAGATCTAAATTACAAAAGATGTTGAACATTGCTCTAAGTTCTTTAATTTAAAGTCAACAACGGCAAGTCACAGAATGAGGCTGGACCACAAAAAGGCATAAGATTGTGAGAAAAATTTAATTTCTAATGATAAAGTTGGAAAAAATCATGACTATCGTATATCTTGTTAATTGTTTTCAGGATGAAAGCTATACAATAAATGGACTGGGTCAGGGAAATTGTTTTATAGTTGTGGTGCTAATAGATGAGCTGTTTTTATTGATTAATAAAGTATTTATACCACTCTTACAAATCAGCCTCAGTATCACTCCCTCACTTGTTACTACATTATTGCTATCACAGAAACCAATCAACAATTACTTGTTTTTATACTTTGTGTAAGGTAAAGCATAATAAAATGCAGTGCTTAAATGATCAGCTTCATCCAAGTCAGAAAAAAAGGTATATAATCCATTTTTTCAATATTTAGAGGAAAGACTATTAATCAAATATTTAGGCATTTGATTTTGGAGAAACACCGTCAGCACTGTTTAATTACTACAGAAGCTAAGATGTAACAGAATTCAGTTTAACTTTTAATAGTCTGGAGAGACCAGCCTGCATGCTCTTCTGGTGAGATCAGTGGTTCTTGGCCATCACCCAATACAGGCATCAGAGCCTTTTTGGGCCTGAGTGTCAGCCCCAAAACACACTTGATGGACTGAGAGCATGGTTGAGTAGGAAGACCAAAGAGAGAGGATAAGAACAACCAGGCAGAAAGAAGGCAGAGCTTACTGGAAAGAGGAGAAAGGGAAAAAGGAAAGAAGGGAAGAAGGAGCTTGAGGGAGAAAAAACAGGAATGGAAATAGAGGAGAGAGCTATGGTTTGAATGTGTCCCTCCAAGGTCTTGTGTTGGAAACTTAATCCTTAAGGTGGGACTTTTAAGAGGTGATTAAGGGCCGGGCGCGGTGGCTCAAGCCTGTAATCCCAGCACTTTGGGAGGCTGAGGCGGGTGGATCACGAGGTCAACAGATCGAGACCATCCTGGTCAACATGGTGAAACCTCGACTCTACTAAAAATACACAAAAAAATTAGCTGGGCATGGTGGCGCGTGTCTGTAATCCCAGCTACTCAGGAGGCTGAGGCAGGAGAATTGCCTGAACCCAGGAGGCGGAGGTTGCAGTGAGCTGAGATCGCGCCATTGCACTCCAGCCTGGGTAACAAGAGCGAAACTCCGCCTCAAAAAAAAAAGAGTTGATTAAGTCATGAAGGTGCTGCCTTCATGAATAGATTAATGCTGTTATCATGCAAGTGGGTTAGTTGTCTTGGGAGTGGGTTCCTGATAAAAAAATGAGTCAGTCCTCTTCCCTGTTCCTTCTCTTGCCCTGTTGCCTTCCACCATGGGATGGCACAGCAAGAAGGCCATAGTGAGATTCAGGCACCTCTCTCTTGGAATCTCCAGCCTCCAGAATGGTAAGAAACACATCTCTGTTCTTCATAAATTACTCAGTCTAAAGTATTGTGTGACAGCAGAACAAAATGATCTAAAACAGAGAGGAAGAGGAGGAAGAGAAAAGCAGTTGAGAGGACACGTGAAGACAAAGTTATTGAAAGATGAGATTCATTATCAGAGGAAATATGAGAAATATAGAATGAGTGTTTAAGAAAAAAACCAGGAAAGTATCTCACCTACAACACTTTGAAGGCATGCAGATATTTTATTGCCTAAAATTTACATTTCTAGATTTGCAGAAAGAAGTTCTCTGACCTATGACCTGTGGCCAAGTCTGAGTAGCCTGTGCTTTAGTTTGTCCAAATGGTGAAGTCCCACAGCCTCCCCCGACACTCAGGGAGAATTCTCTTGTGACGTAAATATAAAAGCAAATGTTTGTATCATACTTTCATTTATGGCTGCCTTAACTTATACAAGAAATAGGAAAAAAGCCTTAGATCACATTGCTTGGAACTTATATACATCTTTAAAGACTGTTAATTGACATCATACTTCTTAATCTTTACAATATCATCCCAAGGTGGAGATCTATAGGTTTACCCCCATTCTACAAAAATAAAAATAAAATAAAAAATTAAATCACATACACAAAGTCAAGAAGAGGAACGATTAGCTTTAGTTGTCTTGTTTAATCAAGCATGAGAAAACTAAGGTAATTCCATACATTGAGACTGACAAAATGTGTAAAGTAAGTTGGTCCACATTACAAGTAGGTTCAATTTGGCCAAAAGACACCATGTTTCAAACTTAATCCTCTGAGTACAAAACTGTAAGGATTATGCTCCAGTTAGTCTTTTAGTTTTGTTTCCTTCATTTCAAAATTCCTTTCGCCCTAAATAGTAGCCGGTACTTGCTATTGTCTTTTTGACATCCTTATTTTCACTCGTCTGCTTAGGCTGAAAGTATGTCCATCCCACAGGTGAATACACAATCAAGAACTGCAGAGCAGAGCCTTTATCTCCACTGTGGCCTCCACCACAGCAAGCCTACGTGCACTTCCAATGATCCTACAATCATTTGTCTTTTTGTGACACCATAAAGTTCAGTAACCAGCAATGCATGGTTCAATGCAGGATGTACTGTGGGAGAGAGAAAAGGGCAGGAGAAGACACACTTCTTACTTTTAGGGCTCATTAAATTGTCTACTGTTTCTTTTCTCATCGTGCTTTGATTTGGCTCTTCTGTCTTCTAGCGAATATACTTTTTGAGTATCTGTCTCTTTATATTATCATGTTATCTTCAATTTTCAATGTTGAAATAAATAAACCCCAGGGCTTTGCAAAACTGTTATTTCCCTCAGCAAAGAATGTGCTCTTCATCAATGCCAATGATTTCATATTCCACTGGCTTCAGAACAAAATAAGCAAGACTTTCTTAGGTGCATTTGTTTTTACATGACATTTAAAGCAAATTCTGTGGGATTGTAGCCTAACATGAAGTGACATCTTTCCCAGAAATACAGCAGCATTGGCAAAATTGTCAGCAGTCACCTAACGTTGGGGCCAAATGTAACAATATGGGAAGAACGGCACTCTGATTAATAAATGTGACTGAAATACAAATAAAATGTGTGGTTTTCCAGACTCGTAAAGTATTGGAAGGCAAAACTGTGAGCAAATTCCATTATAATATGCAAGAGGAGTGCTGAAAGATAGTCCCAACCTATGTGTTTCTCCTTAGCCACTCAGCCATCCTGTCTCTTCGCTTATTGTTTTTCAGATTTTCATTCTTTATTGTCTGTAATTTGGTATGAACTTTGATCCTCTGGTCTTCCTCCAACACGTTACTGAAAAACTGCTGCAGCTGGAAGACAAAGAGACAGCTGATCAGTGCAATCTAACTTCTCATTTGGACCAAATAAATGTCTAAATGCTAAAGTAGCAACAAGATTTTGCAAATTGGTGATGATGAATGAGTAGAAATGTATACTCCTAGACTGTGTGTCCCTGGGGAGACTGTGACTGGACAATGTGATGAACACCACTCCTACCCCAAAGAAGCAAATGTGACAGGATGGTCCATGAAGCAGAACTATGTCTTATTCATTGTTCTATTCCCAAAGCACATATTAAGTCTCAACAAATATTTACTGAATGCATATAGAGTGTCATCTAAGATTTGTAGACAGAGGTACAGTGAAACCACCTCATGCAAATCTCAAAAGAAACTGCAACTTCTAAAGTCCAAAATAGGTACATAATTCTTGCATCTTTACAAATGTCATCCTTTACTTGAGAATACTTAGATCATGGATTCATCCATTGGCAGCATTACCTCATTGGGTCAGGTCAAGCATTCAGTTATTAGAACATTTGTTGCAATATTATGGATAAGTCATACTCCAAGTGAATAATAAGTTATATTCCAAAATATAAATAAGTTATAAATACTTTATTTTCATTTTACCAAAACTCTATTGTTGTATCAGTGGATTAGAACTCCAAACACTTGCAGCCCTAAGACACAGCTCACAAAAGCTTACTTACACCCTAACATATTTGAAATTGCATATTAATGGGGCTATCAAGCCTAATGACAATGTAAAAGAAATGTGTTGGAGAAAAGTAAGTTAAAGAGTCAGGAAAAATCATCCCCGGCTCTTTATGTCCCTGCTCACATCTGCCAGGAGGTGGTATCCACCAACCCTCAACTCCACATCACAGATAGTGTATCCAGGGCCCCCACAGTGGTGGGAGGGAAGTGGGGATGGTGTGTGGGGTTATAGGTGGGCCTCACGTGTGCTTGAGAGTATGTCTAGCAAGGGGAGCAAAAAAACCAGAGCCAGAGATGTGGAAGGTGTTTGAAAATTGTGCCTGTGGGGAGGGACAAGTGGCACAAATCACTTCATTTTCACTTTCCTTTTTAGTGTTTATTTTAAGTACTACCCTGTGAACTGGTGCAGCCTAGCAGCACTGCTAGACATGAAGAGTTGTTCACAAGAATATTCATCTTAGCTAATTCATTAAAAAATTGCAATAATTTACTGCTAAATCCATTTTTGCAATTTTGAAAATCTGTCAGTGACTAGAGTTTTGAAACTTTTAAAATCGCTAAATATATACAAACCTCATTTATTCATTCCTTAACAACAACAACAAAACGTCACTAGATTCTGTAGAGGCAAAGGTTGAACCAGTGAATTTTAGAAGATACAAACACACACTGAGTCTTGATTTTCAGAACTTTTGTTCCAGCGTGTTCTGGGTGTGGTGCACTTTTCTTTCCCTTGTCCAGGGAATCCCTGTTAAATCAGTTCCTGACAGCTCAGCTTCAGGCAGGCCAAAACTCAAAAAATTTCTTCAGGAATTAACAGTTCTCCTTCTCTCATAATCACAATGATGTGATGACTATCACCTTTTCCTCTTTTTTTTTTTTTCTTTTTTTTTTGCTTAGAATCAAATTTCATGCCTTTATACCTACAGACGTATTTGTTTATTTGCTTAGAGAGAGTTGATTTACCGTTATTTACACCAACTCTTCTTGTTCTTATTAACATAGTTTCAGGCCATGGTGTTTAATTTTAATCAGTTTTACTGGGATTTAATTTGTATACAATAAGCTAGATCTACTTGAACTGTACATGTCAATAAATTTTGACCAATGTGTACCCTTTTTAAACCACAGCCACAATCTACTACATTTCCTCTACCCCGCAAACGGGTCCGCAGGCCCTCTTGCAGTCCCTCTCTCTCAGTCCCAGGCAACCACTGATCTGCCCTTTGTCATTGTAGATCCATTTGCATTCCCCAGAATGTGACTTGCTTCTGTTACTAAACATAGTCTCCTTGATATTCATCCATGTTGCTACCCAAATTTTAACATTTCACCATAGTATTCCACTGTGTGGATGTATTACTTTTCCATTCACCTATGGATGGGCATTTAGATGGTTTCCAGTTAACGTTTGAAAAAAACTGCCTCTTTTCTGACATGGTCATGCCACGTTACATTCCTCTCTGCTGTATTAGAGTCCCAGTTGCTCCATATCTTTGCCACCATTTGGTACCATAACTCTTTCTAATTTTACCTGTGCTACTGGGTGTGTAGAGGTTGTATTTATATTGTATTCTTGTTTTACTTTGTGTGAATGCATCTTTTTGTAGACATTTGCTTTTGCCAGCTTTGTTTACCTTCTGGTTACAGCCCTTTTGCCTTCCCCTGGACACAGAGATTGCTGCATCTAACCCAAGTAGGACCAACCAAAGTGCTTTTTTTCAGGGCAGGAACTCCTGAAGCTCTGAGAAAGTATCCCTTCTGCAACTGAGAGTGCTAAAGATTATGTAAGCGGGGAGCTATGCTTCTCTCCACATGGAAAAAGACTGCCTGATAAATATTCAGCCTAGAGGACAGCAAAGCCAGGAAATGGTAAGAATCTAGAATAGACAAAACTAAGATATGATCTCAGTCCTCAGGGAACTCATTATAGTCTCATGGGTTAGACATATTTACCAGTGATTACACTATAATGTAATAAGCACTATGGTAAAAATATATTCATAGGATGACTTGAAAGCGTGGGTGAGAAGAGGGTATAAATCAGTTCATTCAAAAGTTCCCAGAATAGGTGGTAGGCACAGGATCTTAAAGGATGATTAGAAATTATCTAGTCAGGAACAGGGATGAGGAGCATTCTCCTGACAGAGGGTAGGGTGTTTTTGAAATCCAGAAAATGTGAAGCAATGCAATAATTCAAGAAAATTTGCAAGTGGTACAGTATAGCTAGAGGAATAGTGTTTAGGGGTGTCTGTCCATCTCTCTTGCTCTCTGACACTTGATGGTGACGTGAGCAAAATGAAGCCAAACTGTAAGGCAGGGCCAGATCATGAAGGGCCTCCTGTACTAATCACAAGATTTCAAAATTTCTTTGAAAAACTGTGAAAAGCTACTGAAGCTTTGGAACAGGGCAATGATTGGAAGCGATGGCAAAGGTGGGATGGAGGGAAGCCTAGTCTGGGACGGGAACCCTGGGCCAGAGTCCACCGCAGTAATGCAGGTGAGAAAGGATGAAATGCCACCCTCCATGAAAAGGTGATTTATATTTCAGGAGCAGGATATAATTAAAAACTCTTCTCTCACAGTGATACAGAACCAATAGAAGCATAGAATGTAATGATTCAGATAAGCATATTATTTTTAATTTTAGGAAGTCCAAATTGCATAAAAAGTGGTTTCCAAATTATCATTGTATTTCATAATATTTAAAGTACTTACCTCCTCAATCTGTATATCTGTAGTTATGGCTCTCCCTATTGTATATATTAGATTAATCAATGATTGTGTTCCATACCTACAAGGCAATAAATGTTAATCAAGGGTGGAAAGGATTTTTCAAGATAAAGGATACATGCCAAGTATACAGCCCCTATTAATTCCTATCTTCCAAATCTAAGTAAAAACATGTATGAACTAGTTTAGCTTCATCTTTTAATAGAAAATCCTATTAACTCTAAGGAAATATTTATAGTTAAATATTTATATGTATTACACAAATCTATTATTTAAATCTAAAAAGCTCTTCTTAGAAACAACCATTATCTTTTAAAATGAGATAGCTGAAATACATGTCACATGTTCAAATCAATACAATTTATAAGAGAATAAATATATGTGTAAATTATACCCCTTAGAAAAACAGTAGTTAATAGAGGATCAATTTCAGAACTGCTGACTAAAACCCCCGAACGTGTATTTAAAATGTTGCATTTATGTATGCTCTTTTGGAGAGAGGATCCATATCTTCTGATGTTCTCTAAATGTTGGTGACCCTGAAGGCTGAGCGCCATGGCTCTACCTGTGCTTGTTTCAATAGGCACGGTAATGGTAACTTCCCCTCTAGGTTACTGTCCTTAAATATCCAGAAAAAAAGATCTTAAAATAGCTGCGAAGTATTGCTATGAAAAAACAGGAGATACGTACCTGCTCAAAGTGTGGCTGTAGTTAAAAAAGTATATAAAAGACTTTTGGGTGCATTAAAAAAGAAAGAAAAATTAAAATAGGGTTATTATAATGGACTGACCAAGAGATGGTTGAATAGTTAATATATACAATTGATTTACTTCAAAAATTTCTACTTGAAATTAAAAATTATGAGAGTTAGCTTTGGTATAATATATTAATAAAGATGAGAGAAAATAGTGCTGCTGCTTTTCTAAGTTCCTAGCTGTAACTTACACTGTATCTGCCTGAGCAAAGTAAAGAACAATATAATTCTGCATATAATTTAGGCAAGCAAAACTGTTTCTATGAAGAAAGAGGAATATTTCTTAGTTTCCTATTTTAACTGGCCAGCTAGGCAAAAAAAGCCTATAAAATGACTCAAGAAATTTGAGTTTCAAAGAACCCAAATTCCAACCTTAAAATTAAAAATAGAGGCCCCACACGGTGGCTCATGCCCATAATCTCCGCACTTTGGGAGGCCGAGGCGGGTGGATCGCAGGAGGTTGGGAGTTCGAGAGCAGCCTGACCAACATGGAGAGACCCTATCTCTACTACAAACACAAAATTAGCCGGGCATAGTGGCACATGCCTGTAATACCAGCTACTCCAGAGGCTGAGGCAGGAGAATCGCTTGAACCTGTCAGGCAGAGGCTGCAGAGAGTCGAGATCACACCATTACACTCCAGGCTGGGCAACAGGAGCAAAACTCTATCTCAAATAAAATAAAATAGAAAACAGAGGAAACCTATCTTTGGTGCTAAATGTGTCAATTTCTGCCAGACACAGGAGAAAGGTTACCCAAGGAGGCGGGACTGGGTTTGATATTACCTTGGACAAGTAATAAATTGTAAAAATGGAGAATAACAGATCCTTAGAAGCATTGTTCTGGAGTGTAAATGAGATAATGTATGTGGAAACATGTATTAGATTACCTGGCACACTTCATTGCTTCCTGCTCTTGTCAACTTCAAGAGGAGTTATTTTTGAAATAGAGATGATTTATCATTCTTGAGAGAGCAATCTCTTTCAAATATTACTCAACAAAACTGCATTTCACATAGTTTACCCCCATTAGTGTTCAAATACATTCTAATTAATATAAAGTCAAAAGCCAATATGTGTCAATATAGTAATCCTTTTTAAAAAGTTGATAACATCTAATGTTAGTGTGGGAACAATGATTTGGGTACTTCAGTATAGCTCTCACCTTTCTACCTCTCCCCCTTCTCACATTTCCCCTCCCTTCATCTCCCCTACTGTGTCTGATTCCTTGTTGAAAGGATGGCCACAAGTCAAGCATGGGGACACCAAGGCATCTGGCCTGATCCACACCATGGGAACAGACCCCCCAGTGCTTGGACTCTCCGCTCTAATAACCTCTCACTTTGCTGTGCTCCTGTTTAGCCTTTTCAGCTGTGTTCCGCATCATGAAATACAACCAAGAAGTGAAAATGTTTTTAAGCTTAAGTTTTTAAGCTTAAGACTTTAGGGAATATAATAATATGTGGAGAAAAAAAAAAATCAAGTGCTTAGTGAATGAAGAAGGTAAGATTCATTTTGTACAGGTTGAGTTTAAAACTGATCATGCTCTGTATTCTATTTTCAAATTAAACTATGGTGTTTCTGTATACCGTGAAGCCCATTTAACAGAGATGATAAAGGCACAAATAACACTTCTGCCACATCCAATGAAAAGTCACAAAAAAACTATTGCTTCATCCCTATTTACATAGATAGGATCTATTCATGGCTATGTGTACCTACGGACTTTTCTGTAACTTGAAAGATAACTTCATGACCAATGGAGTCTTTCTCATTGGAATAAGTATTCCAGAGATCATCTTTGGCCCAATAATTAACTAAAATTTCCCACAGCAACCAGTGCAATGCTCTGTCTATGAGAGTAAGGGTAAAGATCAAGCCAAGAGTTGTTTTATTCAATCAAATATTCCAAAATGTATTTCCAGATTAGGCTTCCTGGGACGAATTCTGGGCCTGGCTGAAAGGAGCAGAGGTTCCTGCACCGCTATCGATGATGTACTCAATTCCAACATGTGCCTCGGTGTGGAGATGATGCCTGTGAGCCTGCATGTTACTGTGAGATGTGTGCCCATGAGTGCTCTGAGACAAGGGCGAGACATACTCAAAACCACAGCATTGTCCACTTCATGCCCAGGGCCAAGCTGGACATGAGATGGTATTTGTTTTTGCATTTAGGCAAGCTGCCTCTGCCAACCTGTCTCTCACCCTACAGAAGTGGAGCACAAGATCCCAGCAAGCTACCACCTTACAGGAGGGGTACACAACCCCTCTGCTCATACTCATCCTAATTCTATCTCCGACAGCCAAGACCAAACCAGCAACCAAAAGCTCAACACATTAAAAAAATAAAAACAAAAACTGAACTAAACTAAGAAGATTATTCAAACATTTTCATAAAAGAGCAACTGACTAGGGGCAGAGGAAAGGATGAATAGGAACAACACAGGGGATTTTTAGGGTAGGGAAAGTATTCTGTATGATACTACAGTGGTGAACATGCATCATTATACATTAATACATCAAAATCCATAGAATATGCAACACCAAGAGTGAACCCTAATGTAAACTAGGGACTTTGTTTTATGTCCCTGCTTACATTCATCAATTATAGTACAGCTATGATCCACATAACAATGTTTCAATCAACAATGGACAGTATATATGAGTGTGGTCCCATAAGATGAAAAAGGAGCCAAAAAATCCCTATTCCTTAGCATCATAGTCATTAACATTGTAGCGCAATGCATTACCTTTTCTATGTTTAGATATGTTTAAATACACAAATACTTACCATTGTGTTACTACTCTTCCAGCATTCAGTAACATGGTGTACAGGTCTGTAACCTAGGAGCAATAGACTATACCATATAGCCCAGGTGTGTAGTAGGCTCTACCATCTAGGTTTGTGTAAGTACAGTTTATGTTATTCACACAATGACTAAATCACCGATGGATGCATTTCTCAGAATGTATTTCTGTTGTTAATCAACCTGTGACTGTAAGTGTGTGGCTTTGATGCAGGATGTTGATAGAGGGGGAGGTTGTGCCTGTGTGGGGCAGGGCTATATGGGAACTCTGTCTGCTCGATTTTGCTATGAACTTAAAACTACCCTAAAAAATTAAGTTTATTAATTTTTTAAAAATCAACTGAAAAGTCACCTCATTTATTTAAACATTTTCTGGAATTAAGATAAATAAATCACTTCATAAGATGAGCTTTCTAAGTAAAACAAATTTAAAATATTTGAATAAATCTTGGCATCTCAAGTGTTTAAAAGATATACCTTTTTTTTTTTTTTTTTTGAAAAGGGGTTTCACTCTTGTTGCCCAGGCTAGAGTGCAATGGTGCAATCTTGGCTCACTGCAACCTCTGCCTTCCGGGTTCAAGCTATTCTCCTGCCTCATCCTATTGAGTAGCTGGGATTACAGGCATGTGCCACCATGCCTGGCTAATTTTGTATTTTTAGTAGAGACAGGGTTTCTCCATGTTGGTCAGGCTGGTCTCAAACTCCTGACCTCAGGTGATTTGCCCGCCATGGCCTCCCAAAGTGCTGGGATTACAGACATGAATCACGGAAGATGTAGATGAGGTGTTAGTTAAGATCACATCAAAAGATTAAATATTTTCAGGAGTACACTCAAAATATAAATAATTAAGAAGGATGCATTTTCTGCCTTCTGGGTGCAGGCAATTCTCCTGCCTCAGCCTCCTGAGTAGCTGGGATTACAGGCAGGCGCCACCATGCCCAGCTAATTTTTTGTATTTTTAGTAGAGACGGGGTTTCACCATGTTGACCAGGATGGTCTTGATCCCTTGACCTCGTGATCCACCCACCTCGGCCTCCCAAAGTGCTGGGATTACAGGCGTGAGCCACTGCGCCCTGCAGAAGGATGCATTTTCTTACTTAGCAGGAAGTAAATAGAGAGCCAGGAATCAGAGCCAGGGGACATGAGTTCTAATTCAAGTTCTTTTATTTATTAGGTATTGAGCTTTAGTTACTTAATTTCTGAGTCTTGGTCATTGGTTGGTAATTATTTTATAAGCGGCTGTGAAAATGTAGTTATTGCATATATAAACACATTATTTTGTTTTTTGTTTTTAAATTTTTTTGGTAGAAATAGAGTCTTGCTATATTGCCCAGGCTAGTTTCAAACTCCTGGGCTAAAGTAATCCTCCTGCCTTGGCCTCCCAAAGTGCTGAGAGTTTATAGGCATGAACCACCATGCCCAGACTAAATATGTTATTTTGAAGAACAACATTAATATGTGTTTTTCATTTTAAACATGAGATTCTAATACTGCTGAGGGATGTTATCAATTTCATAAAATAGAAATTAACAATATTGAGAAAAAGAAATAAACTGAATCATTAAGGGACTTGTAATAAAGCAGATGCAACGTATCTCAGTAAGATAATATAATAATGAACCTTAAACATTTATTTTGTGGCAATCACTTTAAATAGCACATTATTAAATTATCTTAAAGCCTAATTATCATTATCCTCATTTTATGAATGAGAAAACTGAAGCTTACGTTAAAAATCTTGTTTAAGGTTACACATTTAGCACTCTCCTCAACCTAAGATTTATCTGATTCCAGCTTCTACTGCCTTCACTTTTTGACATACCATGTCTCTAGTGGATACATGAAAAACTAAAAGCACAATAAGTAAAAGGACAAAGGAAAGTGATGAAGAGACACTTTCCATAGTTCTTAAAAAAAGAAACCACCACTTTGCTATACTGCTCTAGTTTAGTCTGTCCCCATGCCCCAATTCTAGAATTGACCCCCAATAGTGTTAACACACTGCCATATTCAGGACAACCTTAGAAACAGGACATCACCAGTGAAGATCACACAAAACTCCTTGACATGATATTCAAGGACTGTTATCACCCATCCTTTCCCTGACCCTCAACTTACTTTCCCAACTCCTATCTCCTCTCCAGTGCTCTAAGCTCCAGCCAGTTACTTTAACTAGTCCCAAGTTGACCTCCCAGCTCTGCCTCCAGGTATTTCCTGGTGTTAGGTCCTCCAGGTAGAAGGAGGAGATTTGCAACTGTGCTTGTTCGAATCACATGCACCTCCCTTTCTTCCACTTAAACCCCCAAAGCCCTTGCCATCTCTCCTCCACAGCATTTATCAGATACCAAGTCCTAATCCCTTTACATTCCCAATAACAATTTGAACTGCACATTGACGTAGAAAAACTAAAACTTTTTATTACCAGGAAGAATCTTAGAATTTATCAAGTACATCTAGAAGAAGAAACCAAGACCTAAATGTTAACGAAGGGGTTTTTCAGTTCCAGTTCCAAATGAGTAGGTTGGAAAATTTTGTTTCTCCCATCTGTGTTTCTTCTGGAACGACTACTCTACTGGCAAAATTACACTTTGTTTACATCAGCATCCCAAGCTGGAGTTTAGAAGAACTATACCTAGAAGATGCTTTGTAGTCAAACTGTATGGAAAACTCTAGGTTTCCTTCTGCAGGGCTTCTTGGAGACTTTATAATGCTAAAATACACTGTGAGTTTGCAAAAGTGAGGGTTAAAATAGTTTCAAAACTGATTGAGCTATTGTCTCTGTCTGTCCCAGAAGACTTATCATCCCCATCTTCATGAGTAGCATCCAGTAGGATGTGCTTGAGAAAAACTTGTTAGTGCTCAGTCACATTTTAGCAAATTCAATATAAATACTTCCTACATTGTAATATAAAATTTAATTTGGCATAAGCATTTTTACTTATAATTTTATACTATCTTCATCATTACATGAGGACTAGTGACATACATATTATCATGTCAAATATGTCTGTTTAGTGATAATTAAATATTTAGATGTGCAAAAAACTAAGTATTCCTGTGCCATTTTGAGTATAAATAAAATAATAATTATTGAGTTGAAATTTTATTTCCTTCCAACAATTCATAATGTTATTGTCTATTCAAACAAAACTATTAGCAAAATTGAGCAAGACTGCTGAATATCAATTAAGCCCTAAAAATAAATGCATAAGATGTAGAAAGAAAATTAGTTTGAGTCTGAAACACTTTTTGTAGCAGAATGTGCAAAAGAAGTGAACTAAGGTGAATTTACCAAGTAGAATAGGCATCCTCATTTTGTCAACTAAATGATAAAAATATACAAGCCGTAGTTAAAAGTTCATGCCTTGCTCTTCCATAACACAGGCAGTTTGTAGTGAGACAAAACACAGGAAAAATGATCACTTTTCTAGTCAATGCAAAGGACTTTTGCGACCTAGCTAGACTAAAACTGAGCTTCTACCACCAAACCAGTGACATAAATGAAAGAAAGGTCTCACTTTCCTTCTTACCTTTCACTCACAGCTTGCCAGTTGTTGACTAAGAAGTCTTTTGCGACATACCAGCCAACATCAGATGCTGCCACAACCTCAATTATATTTGTTTCATTAGAAGTGAATGGGGATGCGCTGATAGCATACTCCATATATCTACAAAAGCACATTTGCAAAAAATACATTTTGAACATCCAACATAAAGAGTTAGTTTAAATAAACGAGATAAAATCCCATGGTTCTAAAATAGTGAGGCACAAATATGCATCATTTTAATACTTATATTAGCACATTTCTATTTTTTCCCTTTAGTTTATTAATTTCATTCCTCCACCAGAAACTCTCAAGGTAAGCTGACCATAATCACCTGTTAAGTATCCATGGGTCTTTGCTGCAGCTCATTGCGTAAATAAGTTGCAACTTTTCTTCTTCCGTTGTTGTATTAGTGTAAATATTTAACAAGATGTCCCACTCTTTATCACTTCCCAAGGCAATGCCATAACATAAAACCACTTCTTTAATTGGATAAGGTATTCTGTAAGATATAACATACAATGATATTTTTCATAGTAGTTATGTTATATGTTGATCCAGGTTATCATATTTTAGAAGTATGAATCTAGAAAAAATATTTGAAGACAGATAAAGTTCAAAAGTAGGGATCTAGGGAGGCAATTGTCAAAACTGTCATTAGCATTAATTCCAAGAGAAGAGATCATCAAATTCCAAACTAAGGAGCTTTAAGAAAGAAGTAAATTAGAGTAGTATAGTGTATATTGATAATACACTTTGGTCTTGTATCTCATTATCGCATTTCCTAAGAGTACATCTGAGTTGGTATATTAAAGGTAATAAAACCAAAATGGGAGTTAGTCTCAGCACTCAGTGAGGCAACAAACTTAAGAGAGAGACAGAGAGAGAGAGAGGTGCTCTGCTGCAGAGATAACAATCATAAACAATCATAAAAAACAACCTATTAAGGCTCAAAATAAGCATAGAAAGCTAAAAGTAAGTGCTTATTGGAAGAATGCACTGGGAATGAGAGGTCCTGGGTGATGATTCATTGTATAAATTCTAATCTATTGTTATACACACACCCACATTAAACACTGGTTTTTAAAAAAAGGTATTTGAAAAGAATAGCAGGAGAAAGCGCTTAGCCAAGTGAAGGCAAAACACTCATTCCCACAGTGAATACATCAAAAAGGGAAATTGCTCGTGCTAAAATAAGAGGACAAAAATGTGAGGGATTATATTACTCTTACTCATTTTCTGGATGGTCCACCCATTTTGCGAAAAGTTCTTTTGACAGCTGAAGACAGTCTTCAAGGCCCAACCAACACACAGTTCCAAAAAGTTTTTCCAGTGATATTCTTGAAGAAAAATCAAAGAAAAACAGTTTATTTTGCATTACCACCTTCATTTTCTCTGCCTCCAAGAATGTGTGTTTTATAAAAGGATGGGTATTTCTAAATATCCTTTCAATGACATCAAGTTTGTTTAAAAAATTGCTTTTGTGGATGACAGATGTATTTAAGATTTGGAGAAATATTTCCTGGGAGGCTCTTAGGCACCAAAAAAAGCTTCTAAGACTAGTACTTTTTGAAAGTTAGAAACAAATTACTGCCATCCTTCATCTCCCTCAAACACACACGGGTGTACCCAGACTCCACAGCTGTTGTCAATTTATTTTTCCTCCCTTTTACTAGAATTGCCTTATGGATAAAAAAATGATTTTAGAGTATCTGATCTAACAGACTTTAAAATAAAGTTCTTTCCTTATACAAGAAAGGGAAAGGCAATAGTTCATTTCTCCCCTTCTACAATTTGTTTTTTCTTGTTTTGGTGTTTCTTCTACTCCCCCTGGCTGTTATGTACATGTTAAAAGAATAAAGAAAAAGAATAACGGTGTTTGGTTGGTTTTAACAGCTGAGAAGGGGTATACATCGTACTTCAAAACAAAATAAGTTCAAAAGAATACAGTAAAGACCAGTAATAAATCAGAGTAAGTGATGCCTTGTGGTCCCTACTCCAGGTTTGGGGTAAGGGTAAAGAAACGCAAATTGGCCATAAGTTTCCAGAAAATGCAAGAGCCAAATTTCTGTTACTCCATCCTCCAGTTTCAACCCAGCCTGACCTGACCTTCTGATAAACTAACGAGAAATGTCCAAGGCTGGAGGCCCTCTGAGAGACAGTTCTAGGCATTCATCTACATGCTGTAGTCACTCCCTGACCCCACCCATCCCAATCCCAAACTGGTGGCAACAAGCTAGAGTTCTGTGGAAGTGCAGTCTGACTCCCCAGGGCTGCTCTGAAGAGAACTGGCCCTGGGATGCTATAAAAAGTAGGCCACTTCAGTCCAATTTAGGAGAGCCAAGGATATGTCTGGTTAACAAATGCGCTGTCTGATTGAGCACGCTGCTTTCCCATTCACTCATACAAATCGCCTATCCACTCTCGATCCCTGCTAGTCCTTACCATTGACCACCTACTCATCCATTCCATTTTATGTCCTTCCAGTCACATCCCTTAGCATCGAAATTTTGGCTCTCTCAGAAGAGTACTATTGAGAGAGAATAATCATACTTTGTATATTTTGTATTTCTTGCTTGGTCTAATTGATTTGAACTTGACCGGAAGTTGTAGGCATAATCCCCGTACTGTTATTGGCTACAGAGTCCCTCCCTAAATCTAGAGACTATCCTACCCACAAAACTTAGAGCACAAGAAAGACAGAAATACTACCACTCCATTTTGCCTCTTGCCTCCTTCCCAGACCACCATGACAATATGCTTACTCTCCTCACCCAACCAGTAATATGAAAGTCATTTGTGATATTAACTCATGCTCACACACCAGTAACTGATCTATATCACTGTCTACCTACCTCATCTTATCTGCATAGTGACAGGATTTCTGTTAACAATAATATACAGAGGGGACCCCTTCCCCTTTCCCCTGTGGCTTTTCCATGCCCATCAACTCACTGGTATAGGCTAACTTTGCTGAGCACATCTTCACCAATAGTAGGACACATTTATGATTTCAACCAGTAGTCTAAGCTTTGAGAATATAGAGCTATAAGCTCCTGTGTGTACATGCATGTGCTTTGCAGGTAAATTAAGATCTCGATTAACTATCTTCTCTTAGAATACATGTAGCCCACCAATCTCTGAGCTATTTTTCTCAGAGCATACAAAATCTCTCAATGAATAACAGATGTGAAGATTTTATTTTATGACTTCTGGAAGCCTATTAATATGAATGCATTTTATTCAATTACCATTTCTTAAAATATACTTACAGAGCTAAGTAGTCATCTTGTAATACCAACACATTTTCACGAATTATAGTTACATAAATATTCCATATTGAATAAAGTCTCTTTAATAGGTACTTCTATAAACAACAAAGAAAACGCACTGTTAGTTCTGGCTTGCAAAACTGAATTTTCACTATGTTCCTATTTATTTATCTGAAAAGACATTAATAGAGGAGTGGCAGCTATTTCTTCAGAAATTATCTGTTACTAAATATGTAACTGGTTTATTTTTTACATCTTTGGGTTTAGTTCTGTTTTACATAAAATGTGGTTTACCATAATACCGATGTTACAGTGTATTAGGAGGATTAAATAATATATTGCAAGCACATTGCCTGGCACAAAGCAAGAATTCAAAAAATATCAGCTATTATTATCACTTAACATCATCTGATACATTTCCAGTTATGTTCAAAATAGAGAAGAAATGTCAAGAAGCCCTGATTCTGAAATAAAGTTTCTCCAACTAAGCTATCAGATGGTAAATATAAAATTATAAAAGTTAGACATTTATTAATAAATCCCTAAGAATTAACTAGATGCTCCTCAGTGAAATTCTTTAAAAACAAATATTAGTTATACTTCTTTACCCAGAATAAGTCATCAGATGTTATCAATGAGCTCCCTCAATCCCACCAAAATTTCAGTGCCTTCTTTTGTTAATCATCATCCCAAGATCAGCTAAATTCTCACTGATACTTTGATTATTAGGAAAAAGAAAATCTGGAACTATAAGAGGTATTTGCAATCTCGTCCTCAGAATAGCCTAGAAATTCACTTGAAATCATCACCTAACATACTTTTTGGTTTGTGTGACCCCTAACTCCCCGAAGAGGGCTCCCTAACTTTTGCATTTATTTTATCATTGTCATTTTTTCCTATAATTACTGTTTAAGACCTAACAATGGATAATATATATTTTCATTTATGATGGAATGTCATTTGTCTGTTCACTAATTCTAATTTCCCCCTTTCTTTTCCTAACATCAAAAGCATCTTCATATTTTTACATTTTCTGGAATATATCCCTCTGGTTTTAAGTGCTATTGATAAGAATATTGCAATTATAAACAGAGTGGTTAAAAGTCATTGTGTTTGCCTAAGAATCTCTCAGGAAAATAGTTGCTAATAAATATTATCCTTTTTCCCCAAAAAAACTGAGCATACCATTTCCATCCACTTTTGGTTTCTTAGGACACACTCACTTCACCAAGAATGAAGTACCCTTCCAATCCTCACTCATCTCCTAGACCAGGTTTAGACTAAGGTATTTTCTTCCAAGAACAATCAGCCATTGTCAAGAAAAAATATACATGTATATAATTTATAAAATATATTTTTATTTGTATATGTATTTTCTTTATAAAATAAATGTATATTTACTTTCTTAACAATGGAAAAGACCTGTCTTATGGATGCTGGCTACAACATAAAAAGAAGAAAGGATTTATTTAAAAACTACATAAGAAAGATGAAATTACCTTTAATAATGGATATAGATCAGAGTTCTTCACATCAGAAACAAGATCCTTGGTTACCAAGTTTACCAAGACTGTATGCCATACTATGATTTCGTCTTCTTCAGCAAGGTACTTGGTTAACTCAAGTGCTGTTTCAATCTCAATATAATTGTTTCTGTTTGATTTAAAAACACACATACTCAAAAAACCTTCACTAGCTAAATAATTGGCATGCGTTTGATATTTATTCCACGTTTCAATGCCTGATTTCAGTAAGGCATGTGAGTAAGTCAAGAAACAAGATGGTAAATGTCCCATCTTATAGAAAAGATGAAACGAAGTAAAGTTGACAAGCCCTCCATTTCAATTTGGTACTTTAACGTGTCCAAAGTCTTGAAGGCTAGAGAAAATTCAGGCCAAATGTTGGACTGATTATTAGGAAATAGAAGAGTTATGCATTTAGTTTGCATTCTTATGAAAGTATAATTTTCACTCAACAAGTATTAATTTGAAATAATTCTCTATCTAATGCTCTGACAGCTACTTATGTGCACATCAACTACAGGCATACCTCAGAGATACCGTGGATTCTGTCCCAGACCACCACAACAAAAACAAATATCATAATAAAGAAATTCATATGATCTTTTTGATTTTCCAGTATATATAAAAGTTATGTTTACCCTATACTGTAGTCTATTAAGTGTGCAATGGCATTATGTCTAGGAAAAAGAGTATACACACCTTAATTTAAGCGTAGTTTATAGTCAACAAATGCTAACAACAATCTGAGCCTTCAGCAAGTCATAACCTTGGCTGCTAATTGATCAGGGTGGTGGTTGCTGAAGGCTGGGGTGGCTACGGCAATTTCTTAAAATAAGCAACAATAAAGTTTGCCACGTTGCTCAATTCCCTTTCACAAAAGATTTCTCTGTAATATGTGATGCTGTTTAATAGCATTTTACCCATAGCAGAACTTCTTTCAAAATTGGAGTCAATCCTCTCACATACCCTGCTGCTGCTTTAACAACTAAGTATATATAATATTCTCAATCTTTTGTTGTCATTTCATCAGTGGTCATAGTATCTTCACCAGGATTAGATTCCTTCTCAAGAAATCACTTTTCTTGCTCATTCATAAGAGCAACTTCACCTCCATTCAAGTTTTATGATGAGATTGCAGCAATTCAGTTGCATCTTCAGGCTCCACTTCTAATTTTAGCTCTATTGCTATTTCCACCGTATCGGAAGTGACTTCCTTTGCTTAAATCTTATCTTCTTAAAGTCATCAATGAGGAGTGAAAACTTCTTCAAAACTCCTTTTTATACTGATTTTTTTTACCTCCTTTCATGCATCACAAACATTGATAATGGCATTTGGAATGATGAATTCTTTCCAGAAGATTTTCAATTTACTTTGGCCAGATTCATCAGAGGAATCATTATCTATGAAAGCTATAGCTTTATGAAATGTATTTCTTAAATAATAAGATTTAAAAGTAGAAATTACTCCTTGATATATGGGCTGAAGAATTGATGTTGTGTTAGTAGGCATGAAAACAACATTAATCTCCTTGTACATCTCCATCATAGTGCTTGTGTAATCAAGTGCATCGTCAATGAGCAGTGACATTTTGGAAGGAATCTTTTCTTTCCTGGGCAGTAGATCTCAGCAATGGGCTAAAATATTCAGCAAACCATACTGTAAACAGATGTGCTATCATCCAGGTTCTGTTGTTCCATGTACAGAACACAAGCAGAGTTGATTTAGCATAATGTTTAAGTACCCTAGGATTTACAGAATGGTAAATGAGCATTGGCTTCAACTTAAAGCTACCAGCTGCATTAGCCCCTAACAAGAGAGTCAGTCTGTCCTTTGAAACTTTGAAGACAAGCATTGACTTGTCCTCTCTAGCTATGAAAGTCCTAGAGGGCATCTTCTTCCAATATAAGACTGTTTTATATTAAAAACCTGTTGCTTGGTGCAGCTATTTTAACAATTATCTTAGCTAGATCTTCTGGATAACTTACTATAACTTCTACATCAACATTTGCTGCTTCACCTTGTACTTTTGTTATGGAGATGGCTTCTTAATCTTCATGAATCAACCTCTCCTAGCTTTAAACTAGCACCTTTTCCTGCACCTTCCTCACCTCTCTTGATAGAATGGAAGAGAGTGAGGGCCTAGCTCTGGATTAGGATTTGGTTTAAGGAAATGTTGTGGCTTGTTTGATCTTTTATCCAAATCACTCAAACTTTCTCCATATCAGCAATAATGCTGCTTTACTTTTTTTTTTTTTTTTTTTACCATTCATGTATTCACTGAAGTAGCACTTTTAATTTCCTTCAAGAACTTATCATTTGCATCTACAATTTGGCTCTTTGGTGCAAGATGCCTAATTTTGGCCTATCTCAGTTTCAACATGCTTTCCTCACTAAACTTAATCATTTCTAGATTTTGATTTAAGGTGAAAGATACATGACTCTCCCTTTCACTTGAACCCTTAAAGACCATTGTAGGGTTATTAATTGGCATAATTTCAATATTACTGTTTCTCAGGGAATGGAAAGGCCAGAGAAGAGGGAGAGAGGTGGAGGAATGGCTGGTCAGTGGAGCAGTCAGAACACACATAATTATTGATTAAGTTTTCTGCCTTATACAGGCATGGTTCATAGCATCCCAAAACAATTACAGTTATAACATTAACAAACCCTGATCACAGATCACTGTAACAGATATAGCAATAATGAAAAAAGTTTGAAATATTTTAAGAATTACTAAATTGTGACTCAGAGACGTAACACGAGCACATGCTGTTAGAAAATGATGCTGATAGAATTGCTTGACTCAGGGTTGCCACAAACTTTCAATTTGTAACACATGCACTCTGTGAAGTGCAATAAATCAAAGCCCAATAAAATGAGGTATGCCTGTAGTACATATGACACTGCCCTTGCAAACCATTGAGAAGCTTCAGTGAGGAGCTGAGACTTATACATAAGAAGCTACTAATGAAAGATCCCAGAAAAGGCAATGAATATTATAAAACAGCCAAGAAGAAAAATATGCACATGGAAAAGTGATGGGTAAGAGAGAAGAGTCAGGGAAGGCTTTATGGAGAAGGAACTTGAGAAGAGCAGGAAAGGATGCATAGGATTAAAATAGGTAGAAAAAGAGAAGGCCCAGGAAAAAGAAGATAAGGTGGGAATTAGTGTGATGGGCAGACCAAGCTGAGGCAGGGCATTTCCTTTGTGTATAGTGAGAAATGGGGCCTAATAGGTAAATTGGCTCAGACATGTGCAGATCCTTGAATGTCAGGATGAAGAGTTTAGATTAGGTAGAAAGGTACTCTAGGCATTAAACAATTGGAATAGCATAATGAAATTGATGTCTAATAATTTTATTGCAATACTGTTAATGAAGACAGATGAAATTCAAAAGGACTGAAGGCTGGAGGCTAATTTAATAGGCCAGGCAAGAGATGATAAAAGCTTGGTTTAGTGTGGAAGCAGTGAAAGTGGTAAGATGAGCCTCCAAAAGACATTTCCAAGAATGGAGATATAGGACTTGGTGACTGTGCATGTAAGAGGAAGCAAAGAGATGAATCAAGGATATCTCTGAGGTTTCAAGTTTGGGTGATGAGAAGAACAGTAGCACCTTTGACATGCAGAGAGAAATTGATAGCAAGACCAAGGTAGACACAAAAATAAAGTTCAGTGTTTATGGCACTGAATTTGGATGACCACATGATAAACCTGAGACAGGTGGAAAGATAAGTAGCAATGTAGATTTGCAAGTCATCAACATGTCCTTCCACAAACGTTTAATGAGGACCTTATATCTGCTGGCACTCTACAGATATATAATAAAATGATTGCCAAAACCCAAGAGTGAATGAGTCATCAAAAGAAAGATAGAAGAAAGTGATATAACTACAATTGGTGTTAAGTGAGCTCACAGCAGCAGAAGAGGAGTCAGATACGGGAGGTCCCATCTCAAGAAGCAAAAATGACATTTTCAGGACGATATAGTAAATAATATCAAAGTTACAGTAATATTAGAGAGAGAAAGATTGGATTTTCAGCAAAGTATTAGACAAAGAAATGTGCTGTAGGTCACAGAGAGAAAAAGTAGTAAAGAAGGATAAAATAATTAGACACTTATTCAAGAAATATGGCTGGCCAAAGAAAGAGGAAAAATACTAGATAATTTATTACATATATTTCTTAATTTTATTGGCTGAAAATTTAAATTTTGAACATTTATTAACTTACCTGGTAAAACACTTAGCAGCATATCTTACAGAGTAAATCTAATATAAATAAAATAAATAATTCTGCAATATACTAAAATACAGGCAAGATTGCATTAAAATTATAGCCATCACCTTTGGATAACAGAAATCACTGCAAAATCTCAATTGATAGTGTTTTTATTTCCAGCAACTTATTACATTGTAAAATTCCACTGCAGCTGTAGAACTTCATTCTAATCTTAATAAATTAGGGCCTATATATGCTAAATAATCAAATTCATAGTGATGAGGCTATTATTTTTATAAAGGTCTCAAGGTCTATTCTAAAACCATGAGAGAAGAAAACATACTCACTTAGACAAGAAAAAGGCGTCATCAATCAACTGCAGTCTGTGAATAATAGGAATAGCCTGCAGAATTAGACCCAAATACGTGCAGAAAAACATAAGAACATTTTTCAGTAAAAAGTTTTCAAAATAACAACAATTTAGAGATTACTGCTGCCTATAAAGCACCTTCACATTAATTATCTCATCTGCAGAGAAACAATAATTACTAAGGATAGACCTCATAATTTATTTATCATACATCTGTGTTTTTTTAATAAATGGCCCGTCTGGACATCAATCATAAAGTTTAAATAGGGCAGAGAGTTTTGCCAAAATACTCCTGAAACACACCATGTTAAAAAATAAAACAGGCAACCAAATTTAAAAGGCCTCTCCAAAACAAGTATACATTAAATTGTATTACACCATCTAAATTAGTTTCAGGGAAGTTTTCGGCATAGAAGGCCTTAAATAAATATTATTTAGTGCTATTTTGGTAACATTGAGGTACCATATTTTTTCACATGGTATTTATCTTAAGATTTTACTAATGTGACAGAATGCCACCAACAGATCCATTTATATCCATGAAACAGCAGGGGCCAATTGCCAGTGTACTTCTTTAGGCTTCTGTTTGAACTCCTTGGCACTGCCAGGCCACAGGACTCTGCTCTCAGCTCAGTCCCTAAGGGTGCCCAAGGCCTCCTACATCACACCTTCAGCAACCCTCAGCACTGTGATATATTTGGTCCAAAGACTTTATCTTCACAACATTTCTCTAAGCATCTGAGCAAGTCAAGTTTAATTCTTCAGTTGGTATAGTCTAATTTCTTCTCTGGTAGTACCAACACATTTTCTCGATTAATATTAATCATAAAGATTCTCTTTTATTTGCTCACCAATTGTGTTATAGAATAAGTTGCCTTTGTTTTTCAATAAATAAATCTACAATGGTTTCAAGAAATTACCATAATGGTATAACCTCGTGCTTGCATGGCTTAGAATGCTTTTAGAAATGTTTTAAGTACTTAGTCACTCTGGAAAGATTTGGAGAGAAAATATTATTGTTAAGTGGCCTTTGTGGCTTTATTCAAAATCCCAATAATTTTTTTAATTACCGAACATGTTATGAATCCCTGAATTGTGTCAGGCCTCTGTTAAACACAACACATATATTATTTAATCTTCACAATAACCCTTTAAGTTTGGTATATTATACCCATTATTACACATATAAGAAACTGAGGTACAACCAGGATGCCTTCTCTAGCCTTTTAGCAGTTGATCTTTCTGTTAGGAAGAGAGTCCACCTTCATTTTCACCCACCTCACCTCCAGGCATACTGAAGAGATTTTTTTCCCTATATTCTTAAAAAGGGGAGATTTGGCTTGAATGTGCCATGCATCTGGCAAACAATGAACAAAATATGAACACAAGTCTTTCTGACCCAGAACCTAAGCTCTAAACCAATATACTAGAGAGACTCCTGTGTGTCGCAGAGAACTTTCAAACACAGAGACACTTAACATAGAGACATCTTTTAGTTCAACACTCAAGTTTTGTGAATGGAGTCTAAATGAACCACCCGAGGGTTCACAGAAAGTCACAGCAGAGCCAACTGTACTGACTCCTAAGCCAGCATCCAGCTCTGCTCATGGAAATTTAGTTTAATCAATTAAAATCTGATTGATTAGAGCTGGCCAACATTTTAGTGTTTATACACTGCATAATTACTTATAGTTATTTTATAATAAAAAGTGATACTGGATTATTATTGTTTTGTGAACTAAATTCTTCTGAGGTAGAGTGGAAATATAGTTTAGAAGTAAAATTAATATTTTCTAGCATTTACTGAGTACCTATTATGGGTTTAGAAATTTTAAGTATACTTTTACCTACATCATCTCTAATCTTCATGATGAATAAAATATGGTAATATACTCATTTTAAAATGAAGAAATGGAACCAGAACATTTAAGTAACTTGCCAAAGATCACAAAACTAATGACGAATAGAATGCATTCTGATTATTACCTGGAAATGTTTTGAAAAAGTAAGATGAATGTTCAAAAACACAACACATTTAATCAAAATCTCTACTTGTTAAGAACAAGAAAAACATCTCTTTCACATGTCTGGAGATGAGGGGCAGGAATGGGGTTGGAATGTCTTCCCACCAGAATGTTCAACCTCTAAAACACTAGAATAGGCATTATAAACTATATTTAATTCAAAGTATCAAAAGTAACCTTACCTTAGGATCCTTTTCAAGTAGTTGACTTAATTTCTTCCAACCTAATTTATCATAATTAACTCTATAATATCCAGTCATATTCAAATTCAAAATCACCCAGTCATGGTCAGAATCTGAAACTTGCATTTCAGGGAATACTTCTATAAAGGAATATGGGAATAATTTGAAATGGTACTTTAAAAAAAGATTTTAATACCTATTTATACTGCACACTTCATTCTAAACAACAAACCAATAAAACAAAAATTTAAAGGAATTCTAGAATATATATTGCTCTTACCGTGTAATTCTGTATTTTTCACATAAAATGGCTTTTGATTTGACACTTTTCTTTAAAACTCTATGTTCAACAAGAGTGATATTTCAGTTTGAAATGAGATAGCTTTTTGGCCGAGCACGGTGGCTTACGCCTGTAATCCCAGCACTTTGGGAGGTCAAGAGTTCAAGACCAGCCTGACCAACACGGTGAAACCTCATCTCTACTAACAATACAAAAATTAGTCGGGCAGGTGCGCCTGTGATCCCAGCTACTCAGGAGGCTGAGGCAGGAGAATCTTTGAACCTGGGAGGTGGAGGTTGCGGTGAGCCGAGATCACGCCACTGCACTCCAGCCTGGGCAGCAGAGTGAGACTCAGTCTCAAAAAAAGGGAAATGAGAGAGCTTTTTAAAAGCTAGATTATTTTATTCTCTGCCTTTATACACGCATATATGTAAAGATGTTTGAAAAATGTGTTACTTACTGCTGCTTTGATCTAGCCATACTGAAGATTGTGTAGTTCCATTTTTTATCCAAAGAATAGGGACAATCCACGTGCCACTTATTGGAAGAAAATAAAAAATTGAGTTACTTTTCGCACATGAGAACATACACGCTGAGCCACTGTTAAAGAGATGATGAAATAGCACACAGAACTCAGATTGTTTGGTCATTCTCTCTGGATATGCAGGCCTTTGTTCTTAGGATTATTCACTGCTGTTTTTACAAGCCAGTTTTACTTTGGCTATTGTTTACTCCTCTCTCCTGTTGGGTTTTATGAATTTACTTCTTTTTATGAGTTAGGGAGCTACTAAAACTCTCTTATATCTGAAACCTTCAAGTCCTGTGTATGTTAAATTATAGACACCTGGCTTCACTCAAGGGTAGTTCAAATGCTGCAAACAGAACCCAATCTAATTGAATCCATGCTCAGACAGGTAAAAAGTAGTTTAGAAGAAAACACTTCAAAATACTTTCAACCTGAAGTGTTCTCCCCATCTGAAAAGTATTCGACAGGAATCAGCCACGACATTTATGTTTATTAAATGCCTGCGTTCTTCCCACTTGCTGGAGTGACCTGGATGAAGCAGGCAACCACAGGAAGCACATTTGTCATCTTAATATTGCCCAGAGTTTAGGCAATATTTCCAATCTTGTTAAGTTTCCACAAGCCTGGTGTCTTGAAGACTGTCAACTGTGAGTCTGTGTTTACCTACATAGCGAAGACACACACATCTTCTCAAAAGTCACAGAGTATTACAGGGAAAAGGAACCTTTGAGTCTCCCATTTCTCCCTCCTGGGGCTTTAAAGAAAGAGTGGAAATATCTGAAAATTTTGGTGACAGTATTTGAAAATTAATTACTCATTTGTGCTGATATTGCAATGAAATGTGAAGATTAAAACCATCAAAAACAGTTGCAAATTAGCTAACAAATTAAGAAAGGGAAGAGAAGAATAAAGGGATAAAGGCTAGCTTATTTTATACTCATTTCATTTTTACACAGACTTTTGGAATACATGCTACTGCATCTATATAGATAAGGCAATGGAAACTCAAGAGCTTAAATAATACCTAAGGTTTGAATTTTGGAGAAGTCAATATTTGAGCCCAGGTCTAATTGACTCTAAAGACCATAATTCTAATGGTGTGGGTATGGCTACAAATACACAAACAGATGCATGCACATACATACACATACACGACTGCACAGAATTTTTCTCAGGGAAATAGTGACCATTCAGTTTCATTTCTAGGGAAGAGAAGACTACTCTGCAACAAGACTCCCTTTCCTCTTTACTAACACGCAGCAATCTGTGGCTCTATCTTATTGCCTCCCACTCAGAATCCCAAGGAATTCATTACCTCTGTCTGAAGGACGAAGAGGAACACACAATACCCCACAGCTCTGGGTGCTGATGTAACCCTAAATCTCAGGGTAGGGGCACTGCCTTGAATCCCTAACTTCAGGTCTCTGGCATTGCCCAGGACACAGGGTTTCTGCTTCACCCCAGTATACAGTCACATTGCAGAAGTGTATGTGCTAAGTCGGGGTAATGCTCCTTCACCCACAGGCTGGACCCCATTGGACCATAGCTCAACCCCAAGGAAGATGAAGACAAAGAGGAGCAAAACTACCTACTTGTTGGTTAGAAGAGTCTGATTTTTAACCTTTTCAAGATAAAATGGCTCCTGTTTCATGATGCCAGTAGACACATTTAAAGTGATCACTGGAAAACCACTCTGCTGTGTCCAACTGTCCATTATGTTTTTTACTTTTGCTGGCAAAGTAACTGTACTCTGGTCATCTATGGCCTGTTTTAAAAAATCATCACAAAAGCAGGTAAGGTTATCAGTGAAATGTTTTGAAGTAGCAATCCTCAAAAGGAAACTCAGTAGCTATTCTCTTCCTCACTTATGTTGTAGTCCTATGGTGGGTGATCTTCTGGGCCAAATTTAGAACTCTGTTTATCTCTATACAGGAACGATTCTTTAGTTCATTAATTCATTCTCTGAACACATATTTCTTGTTCTAACATGTTCCATACTCTGTTCTGGGCACTGGGAATACAGCGAAGACTAAAGACACAACCCATGACCTAAGGCAGTTCTATAACAAGGCAAAGTTGTTTTCCTATGGAACTGCCATTCACCTATGGCCTCCCAGTCTTGTCCTGTATCATACAAACCAACTCAGCAAGAACATGTCAGAAAGTAGGACAATCACCATTTGAAAATGCCTCCATAGATCATCTTGCTCAGCATTTGAGTAGGAAAATGTGTTCAAATATGACTGGAAAAATAGAAGAGTTAAGGTTAGAATAAATAACATGCCAACGCAGTTTATGTTTACTGCCATCCAGGCAACAATTATTTTGCAAACTCACCTTGAGTGCACTGACAAATAAATGCTTATTCAAGAAACTGGAAAGCATCCGGGCCATAGACGCTCCCTAGGACAAAAGAAGTTGTCCATTATTTGAACAAAATTCAATATCCGTATACTGACATATTCCATATTTATAAGCAATATTCTGAGCTGTGCTCCTGACTGCATTTTGCATTTTAGTTGAATGTTTGAATTATTTCAAAATGTGCTAATAAAATAGTAGGCTGTCACTAATTGAGAGGTAAAAGGTAAGCAGATGTCCCACATGTAAAGAGTACACAAAATTTTTAAAAATTGAGATCTTTACATGGCAAGATTAAATTTCCACCAAGCAGAAGGGTTCACCTTGAAAGTAACAAGTTGTGAAAGTCTATGGTTAATGGTACTAAGCATTAATATGGACTTGATTGATATTTGCAAGGTGAGAATTAATTTAATCATGTTTTCTTAAACCCATGAATTGAATTAAAATAAGGTTATTTTCATAAAAAGTTTTAACTTGCATATTGATATAGGACCCTTAGAATCCATTTTATGCAACTTTCTACAAGAGTACAGAACCAAAGGAAATTTCTAGCTGCTTTTACCTTGCTGTAAGTAAACATGTCAAAGAGTTCCACTATTTCACTTGTTTTGAAATTTTCCATCTTCATGGCCACAGCTCTAGTCACCAGGGTGTGATCTTCTCTGAGGACATGACGTAAAATGTTAGAAAAGAAGACCTCATTCTATAAAGGAAAAGATTGAGCCACATTAACTCCTGAGGTGTCACAGAAAAACAAACTTCAATGGTCCTAAAATACTTTCAAAAACTGATATTGAAGAGAGGAAAAAATTCGGTAACTGAGAAGTTGAAATATGCCAAATAAGTCAGGATTCCTTGAATAACAAAACTGTAGGATACCTTCCCTCTTATTTGTATCCTTTTTCATTTCAATTTTTAAAAAGTCAATTACAAAAGTTAATGTGGTTCCCAAAAGCCACTGCATTTCCCATAGGGAGGTCCATGGCCCTCCTAACAGGGCCTTCCTTAAGGTGGTTTTAATTCTCTAAAATTTCATTGGTGATTTTATCAGTAACTCCTTAAAATTAATCAGTTTCTCTTTCATGAATATTTACAAACTAAAAGCATGCCAGATCTACAAATTCACAAAGATGCTGATGTAATAATTGAAAAGTGAAAACAAATCCATAAACTGGATACGACAGTTTATGGCTCATGCATTAAGAGAAGCCAATTTATTATATTTTAATGAGAACCATAGGACTCTTCAAAAGACCAGCTCTCTCTCTCAGACAGATAAGAGCAATTTCTTCCTGAAGTAACGCCAGAAGAAGAATCTAATATTTCTAATAAACTACCCCATGATGCTGATGTTGCTAGTTTAAGAATCACACTGAGTGGCAAGGATTTGGAGGAGTCATCTGCATAGGTTTGATCCTATCAGTAAGCATGGATTTTATTAGTTTAACACTCAAGGCTTCTTTAGAGTGTCTTACTGGTGACCTATAAGCACAATGTGGAAAATAGAGAAAATAAAAAAACATTCGTAATATCACACCCTAAGATCACCACCATTAAAATGTTAGTGTAGTTCTTTTCCATCTTTTTTTCTATGCACTATTTATTCCCATAGTTGTAAAAACCTGTTATCTTGCTCATATACTTATAGCATTTTAAAATTTTGCTACTTCATCTTTATAATTATCCCTTATAATGGCTGCTGCATTATAAGGAAAATAGAAACATAAATCGAAAGGAAATAAACCAAAATTTAACAGTGATTATCACAGGGTGATCAAATCACAGATAATTTTTTTCTTTTCAAAGTACAGCAGATGAAATTTTGCAAAAGAAAAACCTTAAAATACTAAATACACAGCTGTATAATAACCCATTGGGTCAATGGACCATAGTCGATTTAATAACTTCCCTTTTATTAGCTAGACATTTAAGTTGCTTTCAGCTTTTTACTATTTTGACCAGTTTTAATGAACATTTTTGTTCATACAGCTTCTCCATATTTTGTGGGTCTTCCTAACCCCATGGATTGTCTTTCCTTATGCTGCCTGCCTGTTATAAGGTTTTATGTAACCTTCTTGATATCACTATAACCATACATGGTAACTGATGAATGAGGCAACACCTCTTCCTCAACATCCTAGAGTTCTTCTACTCTAGGCCTCCCATAAAGTGATGCTGTCCATAGCCTGTTTTGGTTCTGTTGGAGGGAAACACTATATAAAACATGATGTCAGCTTTAAAAAACACACAACACAGAAAACAAAAAACTAGATACTGCATATAGTGATTAGATATGAATCCATATATTCACCATTACTTTATCACACAAGCTGCGATATGCCAGAGAAGACCTATTAAAATTTCTTCCTTTTTTTTTTTTTTTTTTGGAGACAGAGTCTCACTTTGTTGCTCAGGCTGGAGTGCACTGCAGCTTCCATTTCCTAGGCTCAAGTGATCCTCTCACCTCAGCCTCGTGAGTAGCTGGGACTACAAGGGTGCATCACCATGTCCAGCTAATTTTAAAAATTTTTAGTAGAGATGAGATTTCACTATGTTGCCCAGGCTGGTCTTAAACTCCTGAGCTTAAGAGATTCTCCCACGTTGGCCTCCCAAAGTGTTGGGATTACAGGTGTGAGCCACCAAACACAGCATAAAATCTGCTCTTATCCTTAGAAATATAACACTATTTATTGTAATAAATTTGTAGAGAATATTATGGTGGTTAAAAACACAGGATTTGGAGTTAAGTTGCGCCTGTGTATGAATTCTTCCTCAGCCCTTTAGGAGTTATGTGACTCATCAAAGACCACCAATTTTATCTCTCTGAAACTCAGTTGCCAACTGAAAATGGGTAAAACAACAGTCTGCAATGGGTTATTATGAGAACTAAATTAATTTACATAATGTTTTGAGCACAATGGGTAGCAAATATGACATGCTCAATAAGGATTAACCACTGCTGTGTTTACTTATCATTATTTTTATTATGATGCTTCAGAATTATCTGAGGATTGAATGAGATAATATAAATAATTCTATACAAGTACGTAAAACTAGTGTTTAGTTTATGGTAGTTGTCTCAACAGTACCTAGCAGATGCCATTGTCATCTGTGGAATGATTGCTAGAAACTCATTTTAAGAGTGAGGAACTAAAGCTCAGAGGTGTTCATCTGCTTGCCTCAGCTTATGATCACAGTAAAGGCATAGCAATATCTGATGGCTACAGTGCCCATATGTACCTTTTCCCTTCACCAAGTCTGCTGCTTTCTTAGATCAGGCAGCAGAAAGATGGAGGAAAGTCATTAAGTGGCAATGTAAGGGCTAGAGCTTCAGAATTCCAGAAAGTCTTCCTTCTTAATGTTCTGACCCCTTGGCCATGAGCCATTCATATCATGCTTTGGTGACTTTGATTTTCAGCTGAAATTAGACTTTGAAATAGAAAAAATTGAAAATCTGTTTCTGCATAAGGGTCTATGATTCTGCTATTCAATTTCAATCATATTACTAGATTAAAAAGAGGTTAAAGTTCTTGATCTCTAAAAATCATTGAAAGGAGAGCTTAAGCTTTTTAAAAACAAAGATCGTGGCAATGTCCTCAATCGCCAGGATCTGATGCTTTCACTCAGATCTAAGAGATGTAGAAAACATGGATAAGAAACTAATGATAAAAAGAAATAATTAAAAGGCACAAAAAGAGACTAATGTAAATCTTAGCTTCAAAAATACCAGAAATATGTTTTGGGGAAGTTTTGCTAGATACTGATAATACTTAAACCATTTTAGTTGTAATAAGAGGTAACTGAAATTGATGTTCATGATGGATTCTATCTACTTAAGAAAATACGGTAAATTTCATTGTCTTATGGAAATTAAACTTCTTCCCTTATTTATTCTATCCACAGAGTTAATTTAGGATCTAATCAACTGCTTTTAAAAGCACTTATACCCCGTCTCTACTAAAAATACAAAAAAAAAAAAATTAGCTGGGCACAGTGGCGCATGCCTGTAATCCCAGCTACACAGGAGGCTGAGGCAGGAGAATTGCCTGAACCCAGGAGGCGGAGGTTGCAGTGAGCCGAGATCCCGCCATTGCACTCCAGCCTGGGTAACAAGAGCAAAACTCCATCTCAAAAAAAAAAAAGCACTTATAGATGGCACTAACCATGAGTGAATAAAAGCTATGAAAGAGAGATACAAACAATTTTGTAGGCATAAAGTGGAAAGGACTGTTCAAAACAGCTAAGACAATAAAGACATACTATATGTAGATAAAGTGTGTGTATATATATACATATATATATACAATCATATATTGAAGACACAAACACACCCTCGCCCCGCCCCTCCCCCCCAACCACCAATTAGCTTCTTGAGGATAAGAACTCTCCATTGTGTTTTTGCTATAGAGCACAGTGATTAAAAGCATGGGCTTCACTGTCAGCATGACCTGGAATTGAATCACAGCTCTGACATTTAATAACTATGAGACCTTGAGCAACTAACTTAATGCTTCTATACCTCAGTTTCCTCACCCATAAAACAGAAATGACAACAGTATTCATATGGTTGGTTTGAGGTCTGAGTAAGATGATATATATGTAGAGTTCACACTGCCTGGCACTTAAGTTCTAAGTACTCATTGAATGGTAAATACAGTATTATTGCTGTTACCATCATTATCCTTGTCATCAGACTAGATCCAGACAACTGGAAATAATCTCAGTCCTGTCCCAATTGGGCAAATTACCTTGGGCCAGTCATTTAGAGTCATTTAACCTTTCAGTACTTCAGTCTATATAATGATGTCCAAACTTTCTATATAATGATGATCTATATAATGATGTCCAAACTTTCCTCCAGGACAAGCAGGGCCTGTGCACAGTCCAGGGGGGAGGAAGAGAGAGGCACTGCAGAGTGACTGGGCTGGGGGCATCTTATAGGATGTCTGTAAAGGGTTGGGAGGTGGCATGGAATTCGGGTGTTAAAAGGCTGCACTACATCAGTGCTTCCCAGATGCTGTGATTTCACAAATAGATGAAAAGAAGTTTAAAAAAAGGTTTCTGTGGCACCAACATAGGCTTGTCAACTTTTTTTCCTGCCAAACTATCAACCAAAACAAGTACCATCTACCTCCACCCATTATCAAGTTCCATAAAAGAAGGAAAGCTTACTTCCAAAATAATAGAAAGAACATCATCTAAGAATCTCCTTCAGAATGAATAGATTTAGTCTGTAAAGAAGATCCAAGAAGCGGAGATAGTATTTCAATATTAATAAACCTTTGAATGAGTGAATGTGAAGAGAAAAGAGGTGAATAATCTAGTCTTGGAACAACTGGGAGCTGAGATGAGATGGAGACCAGCAAAGAAAGGCAGGAAGGAGCAATCCTGAGGACCAGAGAGGTTACAGGAGACAGAAGAGAGGAGGAGAAGATGCAAAGCAAGAAAGGACCTCTGGTTTATAAAAGAAGTGAGGTTTACATCAAAAGATAACATGGGCCGGGCATGATGGCTCACTCCTGTAAACCCAGCACTTTTGGAGGCCAAGGCAGGCAGATCATGAGGTCAAGAGACCATCTTGGTCAGCATGGTGAAACCCCATCTCTACTAAAAATACAAAAATTAGCTGAGCATGGTGGCACGTGCCTGTAGTCCTAGCTACTTGGGAGGCTGAGGCAGGAGAATAGCTTGGACCCAGGAGATGGAGGTTGCAGTGAGATGAGATTACACCACAGCACTTCAGTTTGGGCAACAGAGCAAGATCTTGTCTCAAAAAAAAAAAAAAGATAACATGAAGTCTAAACATTTAAATATCCAAATTAAATCAATTTGGCTTTATCATGGCATTCTAGAGGTCTAGCTAATTACTCTACATAAATTAAATATCAGAAGGGAAACCTACAGTTGAAAAAATTAGATTTGCATATGCATGTATTCATTTTTCAATATTACTATTTACTCCAATTAGCAAAACAATATCAGCAATAATATTAAATATGAAGTAGCATATTACTTATCATAAAAGTCATACTCTACTGCACTACTTTAAAATTCAGTCTAGGATGGGCGTGGTGGCTCATGCCTGTAATCCCAGCACTTTGGGAGGCCAAGGCTGGTGGATCCCTTGAGTCCAGGAGTTTCAGACCAGTCTGGGCAACATGGAGAAACCCAAACTCCCAAACTCTACAAAAAATACAAAAATTATTTGAGCATGGTGTCATGCGCCTGTAGTCTCAGCTACTCAGAAGGCTGAGGTGGGAGGATTTCTTGAGACCAGGAGGTTGAGATTGCAGTGCGTCAAGATCACACCATTGCATTCTAGCTTGGGTGACAGAGCGAGACCCTGTCTCTAGCCTGGGTGACAGAGCAAGACCTACACTATATATGTAGTAGGAATAAGGAATATGTATAGTAGGAATAAGTGAAAATAATATTCGGCAGTCATTTAAAATCTTCTCTTTAAAAAAGATCTAATGATAGATTGGTAGAAATGCTCATGATTATGAAATAGAAATATGAAGTCGAATACGAAGTGAAAAAAGCAATACAAATTTTTATATAATTCCCTCTTTCAAAAACTTCTACAATAGATTAAAAGCCTGGAATAAGAAAAATCAAAAAGATATCACAAATAATTTCTGATATTACAGGTAATTTAGCATTTCTTGTATTTTTCTGTATTTTATACATTTTTAAGAATCAATATGCCTTACTTTTATAATTAGGAGAAAAATGTTAAATAAATTTGATAAACATACTTACTCTTGGGAATTTAGGATTAAAGTAGTTAATTACTTCATACTCAAAATAAGATGCAAAACCCTCCTTGAGCCAGACATTGTTCCACCAATTCATGGTAACCAAGTTTCCAAACCACTTTTGGATGAGAAAAAAAAAAGAGCTTTCTTAAATTTAATTTTTAGGTTACATTCATTGTAATTGCATGTTAAATAAATGTAAGGTTAAAAGACATAATTAAAATTTATTTGCCATCAATAACAAAACTTGAAGACAAGACACTAGAAAACAAGGAGATATTAGTCATGTATTTCTCAGAAATATTCCATGTCCAATGACTGAAAGCAATTTTTGTTTTAAAACTGCAATGTTTAAACATAAGGTCAGTTATAATAGCATTTCTTATGTCTACTTGGCCCAAAAGTTGTTTTTAGTTCCATAAAACAGAAGCCCTGAATGCTGATTTACTATCGACTAATTCTAGCTCCTTATACTCTAAATAGGCTGCAACTGGATTTTACTTTAAGCAGTTGTTTATGTTTTAAGAACATAATTCGATCTGTGCCGTGTACAAATCACTCAAGTAATCATATGTTTTGCAATATAGCTCAGCTGTAATTATTTTCTGTTTGAGCTAAACAGAAAAAAAAAAATCAGTGTCAAATGGATGATGAACAGGATTAGGAAAGAAAAACAATGATTTCCAAACTAACAAACCCAAGCCCTAGTATTTAACTAAATTCTTATAACAGCTATAATTACTCATAGCCTGTATTCCAAAACAATGTGTCACTTAGACTATACTAAAAAATAACACTTTGGGTGACTGTGTGTTTTACTGTGAACCAGGGTTGTTATTCAATCCTAGTAAATTGCTCTTTTCCAAACTTCTAAAGGAGCCACATTACTAAGATAACACAGTTGAGATTATTTCTTTCTTAACAAACTGGTATGAATGGAGCAGACACTGAAATGCAGACATGAAAATCTTCATCAAATTAAACAGCTAAACTGCTAAAATCCCAATGCAAAAGCAAATAGATCTGACGAAATGAATTGTCATTTATGCCACCACTGGGAATGTAGCCCAAAGGCTAGTTATTTCCACCTTGGTAATGTGTTACCTGCATCCATTTAACCTCTCTCCAACAACTACAAGTAGAAATTTATAACAATCTGCTGATGAAATGAGGGTATATTTCAGTGATCCTTTTGAATATCCCGCATTTTAGGTGAAATGAAAAAAAAATACTCCTGTGTCTACATGGGTTACTTTCCTGAAGAGGACTTTGTGGAGGAAAGTTAATTGTTGGATATAGATACCCAACCCTCCAGTGAACTGTAAGTTCTCCTCACTAGGATCTGCCATCAATAGCTCAAATCCACCCAGAATCTGAGTCTTCCCTGTTTGTACTCACTGCCATACTTTGGGGTGTTTTTCTTTTTAAAATGTGGTATATGGCAGGGTCTTATTAAGGTTTTTATGCTATTTTGGTAGAGCACCTGAAGAATAACTTCACGTGAAATAAAAAGAACATTTTACCACATGCCTGGTGTGCAATCTCGTGGGAAACAATGTTGGCGATCAGAGTCTTTTTTCCTGTCAGAAGATCTTTTGGTTCCAGCAACAATACTGATTCATCAAATACCATTAGTCCCCAGTTTTCCATTGCATGGTTGTCAAAACTAGGCAAGGCAATTATATCTAAGTGGATTTAAATGGAGGAAAAAATAAAATAATCTCTTCCCCAAAATGGAATTTCTAAATATATCTCTCAAAATGAAATCATAAAATTATCATAAAATACAAGACAATATTTATAACCTGAAGGCAAGAAAGCTTTTTAAAGATTAATAACAAAGACAAAAGCCAGCAAATAAATTATTTTGACTATATTGAAATGAAATACTCTTGATAAAGGACTGTATTCAACTATACAAAGAATGCTTAAAACTCAGCAGTAAGTAAACAAAAAACCCAACTACAAAATGGGCAAAAGATATGAACATATACCTCACTAAAGAAGATAAATAAATGGCAAATACACATATAAAAAGATGCTCAACATCAATTGTCATTAGAGAATTGTAAATTAAAACAATGAGACACTACCACATACCTACTAGAATGGCTAAAATGCAAAACACTGGCAACACCAAATGCCGATGAGGATGTGGACCAACAGGAACTCTCATTCACTGCTCATGGGAATGCAAAGTGGTACAGTCACTATAGGTTGACCATAAGATCTGACAATTACATTCCTTGGAATTAACCCAAATGACCTGAAATCTTATGCCCACCCAAAACCCTGCATACAAATGTTTACAGAAGCTTTATTCATAATCGCTAAAAGATGGAAGGAAACAAGATGCCCTGAAATAGGATAATGGATACTGCAGTACACCAAGACAATTGAGTGTTATTCAGTGGTGAGAAGTGATCTATCATGCTAGGAAAAGATATGGAAAACTTTAAATGCATGTTGCTAAGTAAAAGAAGCTGGTCTGGAAAAGCTACATACTATGTGATTACAACTATATGACATTCTGGAATAGGCAAAACTATAAAGATAATAAAAAGATTGGTGGTTGTCAGGGATTTGGGGGAAGATAAATAGATGGAACAGAGGGGATTTTTATGGCAGTGAAACTATTCTGTATGATACTGTAATGGTGGATACTTGTCATTTTACACTTGCCAAAACCCATAGAGCTGTACAATGCAAAAACTGAACCCTAAGATAAACTGGGGAGGTTAGTTAATAATAATGTTTCAATACTGTAACAAGTGTAGCACACTGATGCAAGATATTGGCAACAGGAGAAAGGGGGGAGAAGGAAGGAAAGAAAGAATATATGGAAACTCTCTGTACTTTTTGCACGATCTTCCTGTAACCTAAAACTGCTTTTTAAAAATAGTCTATTTCAATTAAATAATTTAGCCAGGCATGGTGGCTTCTATGCATAATCTTGGCACTTTGAGAGGCCTAGGTGGGTGAATCACTTGAGGTCAGGAGTTCAAGACCAGCTTAGCCAACTAGCCTGGCCAATACGGTGAAACCCTGTCTCTACTAAAAATAGAAAAATTAGCTGGGCATGGTGGTGAACACCTGTAATTCTGGCTACTCAGGAGGCTGAGGCAGGAGAATCACTTGAACCTGGGAGGCGGAAGTGGCAGTGAGGGGAGATCGCACCACTGCACTCCAGCCTGGGTGACAGGGTGAGATGCCATCTCAAAAATGCATAAATAAAAATAAACAAATACTTTAGTTCACCAAAATATACCATAAACTAATTTGAAAGGCAAACAATAATCTAGCAGAAAATATTTAAGGCATATACCACAAGCAATTAGACAACTTTTTAATACTTAAAGAACTCAGAGGAAAAAAATGAAAGGTGAACAATGCAGCAAAGAAATACTGCAAATAGCTAAAAATCTTACTGAAAATGTTCAATTATCAAAAATTAAAAATTACAATGATAAACTTAATATTTAAAATACATAGGAGACTGATAATTAGTCTTGGTATAGGTATAGAAAATCTGGCACATAGCCTACAGGTAAAGGTGTCAACTGGCACAATAATAACCCAAACACCAACTCTACCAGTCACTATAATATTTTGATGTTCAATCTAACTTTTAACTTGAGAGTGAATTAAAATGATAGAAACATGAGTGAAAAATACTGTTCTATTTAAGGGATACATGAACACAGCTCATATAATCTTAGATTCTAGAGTAAAAATTCATTGAGCAAGCTACAAGAAAATCAGCTAAAAGAACAACACAGGAGAAATAAACCAAATAATTTTTCACCAAACTCTCTGAGGGTAGGAGTATGGCAGATGTGGGAAATACTGCTAGGGGAGGCATTTGCTTTGTTTTGTTTGTGATTCAACAAAGAATTTAAGCAATATGCAACAATCCTGCATGATTTGCACATGTACTCCAGAACCTAAAGAAAAAAAAAATCCCCAAATATCTAAAAATCAAAACAATTGAACTCATGGAGATAAGGAGCAGCAGGATGGTGACCAGAGACTGGAAAAGCAGTGGGGGGCTTGGGAGAACTGGGGATGGTTAATGGGTCCAAAAAAATTAGAAAGAATGAATAAGATCTAGTATTTGATAGCTCAACAGGTGACTACAGTTGATAGTAATTTAACTGTACATTTGAAAACAACTAAGAGAGTATAACTGGATTGCTTATAATGCAAAGGATAAATACTTGAGAGAATGGATACCCCATTTTCCAGATTGCGATTATTATACATTGCATGTGTCCCATAACTTTATATACCTATTATGTACCCACAAGAATTAAAAATTAAAACATTTTTAAATCCCCAAAATAAAAAAAGAAATATTAGTTGTCTTTCTCCTAAAAATCCAGTAATAGAGGAATTCCTTATTTTAATCACCTATCAACAAAAATGAAGTTTTGATTGAGCACCTTCTATGGGTGCTCATAGGGTAGCACCAGTTGAGATGCTATGAAGTTTATAAAGAAAGTATCAAATGTATCCCTGATGTCCAGGAGTTAATAATCTGGTCAGAATTTAAGTGGAATTACTGAACTAATCACATATATTTATTTCCTCCATCACCCCCAAAAGTTTACTGTTGACTACCTGACTGCCATAGGTTCTAGTGGCAGAAAGAAAAAAACCATTCAGATCCTAACTCCAAGTTCTAATGAGGAAGACAATTAAAATACAATTGATCAAGAGTTCAGATGGAGAAATATGCAGGGTGCTGTGGAAGTTGCAGAAGAGAAGTCAGGGAAAGCTTCCTGGATGAGGGGGCATTGAGTTGAGAAATAGAATTGAATTAATCAGTGGATAGAAGACATTTCAGGATGTGCAAACTGCATGTGTAAGAGCCTGGAGGAGACAAGAGGAAGGTGAACCCATAGGAGAGGGCAGTGCTAAAGCAACCTCAGGAACAGCCCAAAGCCCTGAGAGGTTGGTAAGAGATGCACCATTATAAAGACACTGCGAGCTGACTTTGGATTCAACCCTCAGAGCAATGGGAGGTCACACAGAGTTTTTAAAGAGAATAGTAACATAATCAGATTCGCTCTGGAAAGATCCTTCTGGTTTCATATGAAGGATGGCTTGGAGGGGGCAGGAGGGAATGTGGAGAAGCTATAAGAGGACAGCTGTGGTGGACATGATGATGAAAATTAGGGAGAACTGGGGGACAGGAAGAAGTAAGTGGGTGGATGAATGTAGGGGATGATAAGGTGATTAATTAGATTGATGGTGTGCTTTGAGGGAACAGTGTATCAAGGATGACTCTGCACTTCTCATCTAAATAAATAACAAATAGAACTTTTCTTGCCAAGATAAGGGACATCTTGGGAGCCTCCAGCCCCAGAAATGCCAGGAGCTTGATCTCCATGCCTGAGCTCCTACCGCCTCCAACTCCCTAAATGATAGGTGTCACCTCCGGTATTTCTGAATGGGCCAAGGCTGGTTTTGGTCCCTTCGTTTCCCATTCCTCGTTAGCCAGAATGCTTGAGCTGCAGAGGCCCTGGTTTCCTGGGGTTCAGGAGGTTCAACCTCCCAAATATTTACTTCCCACCTTCTTCCACTATCTGCCAGTACAGACAGAGCATACTTTTTCAAAGTCTCCAACTCACATGTCAGAGGAATAAAACATATTTACAAGATACTTTCAAGTTAGAGAGAAAAAACATTGAACAACTTTCTGAGCTGAGTGGCTCATGAAATTTTAAGGACATACCACATAGATCTATGACAGGTTAAATATTTACATATTTCTTTAAGGATCCTATTAACATATGATTCCAATTTTATACAATGAAAATTCACAGTTAGGAGCACTAATTTTAAAAAATACAATTTACTAAAGGAAAATGAAGTAACTTCTGAAAGTCCACTAGCTAAAATGATCCAGACAGAGCATTGCACACTTGCAGTATGAGACAGAGGGCTCGAACACAAAAGAGGATGGGAGGCTGCCACTGAGCAGCCAGGAGAGACCTAAAAAGTCTGAGAGCTCTTCAGCAGCTGCTGAGCACATGGCTCTGTACAGAGAAAGAGAGGTGGGCCTCTGTATGTTTCTGAAGGTGTCAAACATAGGTCAGGAGGCTAACTCCAAAACAGCAGCTAAATAGCGACAGTGGATCCTTAGGGGTTTGTTTGTCTCTGTATCGCCAGGCCTCAACCAAGGGCCCAAATAACAGAAAATCAAATGCACTGAAAGGAAAAGAGTGCCTCACCTGTTTTTGGAAGAGAGTAACTGATATTAAACAAATCCTCCAGAAAAGAGAAGGTGGGGCCTGTGATGTTCAAAGCAAAGTCTGCATTTCCACTTGCAATGGCATCTTTGCGGGCCCAGATGCGTATCTAAACCAAAACAGTTAAGCGCTGATTAGGAAAACCAGTAGCGATTTTGGAGAGAGGTAGCCTGCTTGCTGCAACTCCCTGCCACTCTAGAGTCAGAGTCTTACCTTTTCAGAAGAACCGATGTAATAAAATGTTTGCATGCCTCCATGTCCTGAGAAAACCCCTGAAGGCTGTTCACTAAGTTATAAACAGTGATTTCTTTTGAAAGTGCGTATGTCAATCTTTGACAATAGCATGTACAACTCTGGAATCATAAAACAACCCTTGGAATGGGTCATACCACCATCTACCTTTACAGTAAGTGTAGAGTCTATAGACATTTTGTGTACTCTGAGCCCTTGCTTCCCTTTTCAGGATATGTTACTAAGGATCCAAACAGAATTGCACTGTTAGTGGGGGTTATATAGTATGTTACATATTAAGCAAATTTAAATCATACAAATTTAAAATGATTTGGCTATTAGAATATTAATAGTCCTACTTTTCAAATTTGAAATAAGGTTAATTCTCCTAATTTAAAAAAGTTCATCAAATGTCTGATAGTTTTAAAGCTGTCGAAGCAAGTAAATTATAATTCTCTTGGTATTCTATTGCCAAATGACACTTCCACTTTAGCAAGCAAAAGGGAATCCCTGCCATGTTTTGTCCATTTGACGTAACCACACTATTGTTTGTGTATTTGCAGCTTATTTGTGTGATATTGGTGAGTAATAGACTATTGTTTTAACATTAATTATTACTGTAAATTGAAAGTATTGTAAATGCTGCAAAACTATCATTTAAGCAATTTTAATAGAATTGCCAGCATTAATGTTAAAGAACATACGTAAAACTGAAAGATCTTGGAATGAAAGTTAACAAGTGAGATAATTAAAATATTTGTCCTGTTGTGAATGCAGTTATCTAAGAAAGAATGTTCTGCAAAACATTAGAGAAAAAAATGCTAAGGAAATGACTTCCCTTTTATTTCTGCTTAAAAGTTTTTATTGAATTATGTAAATCCTGAACTACCTACATTGCTTACGTGATAATTTTGTAGAGTTTGCCATACTTTCAATTTACAATAATAATGTTAAAACAATAGAATATTACTCATCAAAAGCACACAAATAAGCTCCAAGTACCCAAACAATAGTGTGGTTACACAAAATGGACAAAACATGGCAGAGATTTCCTTTTACTTGCTAAAGTGGAAGTGTCATTTGGCAGCAGAATAATGAGAAAATTAGAATTTACTTGCTTTCTTATGTTTATCCTCATGCCAGACATTAACCATAGCTTCCATTTCACCAAATCTTTGTTACTTAATGAGAAATTTGTAAATGGGCTGGACTGTATTCCAAGTATACATTTTTGTTTTGCTGTAGAGTATATAATGCACTCACTAACTTTGTAAAGCTGAGCTGTAGCCAAATGCTAACATTCCACTGATAGACTCATGGCAAACTTCGGTGTGCTGGCTAAGAACATAACTTTCTTAGGCATGCTCCATTTTCTTGCTGCTTCTGTGGCAGCTGGCATCCTTTCGGGGTGATCTTTCACAGATAAATAGAGTTCATCCCTCTACAAGAAATGTTGGCTGTGTAGCAGCGCTGACCACAACAAGGCACTTGAGATAATGGAGCCGAGGGATCACCTTGGGTCTGTCATTTCCTGTGGGAGCCACAGGGCCCGCTCCTCCTTGCCAAGCTCGAAGCATATGCTTCCAACTCAGGCCTGAGCAGATTTAACAATATAAGCCACACATGTTTAACTTGGCCAGTGCTATATCTGTGGATGTCAAGGATCTACTAGCAATTATTCAATGAGGAAAATCAGACTAGAGCCCCCAGCTTAGGAAGATAACAAGCTGTTGTTTGCATCTAACACAATATTATTAATTCATAAAGTTAGGAGGAGCTTTGAGAATCTTTCAACCAACACAAAGTTGTTAATTCATCACTAGGTTAGGAGTTGTAAAGGAGGAGTAGCTTTGACTGATTCTCCCCTGATGAGCAGCTTGGCTCATCTGCAGCTTTCTTTTCTCCACATGTAACGGTGTACGCCTGGAAGATCTTGGGGTCAGGAGAGTATGTTAGCCAGCTATAAGGCCTGATTTTTCTCAGCCCCATGAAGTCTATGTGTCTAGAAAGAACTGGGTGTAAGGCCCTCTGTGATAGGGAGTAAACCAATATATGAAGCACTGCCAGTATAACCACCATATTTTTCTAAAGGATTATTATAAAGGGGGTAATTGGGTGAAAACCAGGTATTTCAGGACAGAGTGCCAACTTTACACAACTCAGAAAAAGTGTTACATGCTCCAGAGCTGAAGAACATGGCAGTTCAGCTTCTGGATTGGTATGCGGACAAGAGTGACTTTATTTTAAATGCTAATCCACTACGTAACTTCTAACTATCCTTGAGTCTAAAATGTCTTGTTACTGTGATACTCATTATGTAGAAACACCTATTCATTCTAAGTTTCCTTCAAAACCACCCTTGTTGTTCTGGAAATCATAGGCTGTGATGCCTGTGGGTAGGCAACTACACATTCCTTCCAGAGCATGTATGCTTTTCCCCCAAGATATAAGCCATGGATCTGGGGAGTTGCACGGCAAAGATATACCTGTCTTGTGCCATCCAAGACCATGCTTCTGTCTTTAAGTTCACTTAATAAATCACTCCAAACCAACAAACTAGATTTGTCTGCCTCCTTCTTTGGTTTCTCAGCTCCTTCTGCATTTGGGGGTCGCTTTGTTTATATGGCCGTTTCATAGAACAATAGGAATGAAATTTAACCTGCATGCACCATTTCAGCCACAGCATTTGTTCCTGGCTAGTGTCTGTTTTGATTGGTTGATGCCCAGCCACACTGGTTGCTGACTGTTTTGAATATCACCCAAGCTTCAAGACTCCACTAACTCTGGCTAAGTACACGTCACATACTAAACCCAAGTATCAAGGTTTCAGGGCAGCAGTGCTCCCCATTCTCTCCTGTCTTCTGCAAAAGCAGAAACACTGGGAAGAGGGAGCACAGACCTTGTCTTAAGGAGTGGGTTTAATATGCACTCTTTCCATGGAAACCCATCCAAAGAATGGCAATAGGAAATGTTACGACCCATTCTGCAAAGCCACACTAAGAACTTTAACAGGACTTGGGAGAGAGAACTAGGAAGCGGTTATGGGATATGCAGTCATAGCCACTGGATGCAGAAAGAGTAAATGAACAGTCTGCAGCCAGTACACTCTCCCCTTACCTAGAGAATCTTCCTCACTCACCTCCTTGCCCCTTTCCGTTCTATTGACATGGTCATAGTCACATATTACAAATGCAACTAAGTAAGTTGGCATGTGGGGCGTAGTGGAAAAGGTAGTAACAGTCCATTTGCTTCCATTCACATCTTCTTTTTCAGACTGACCTAGAGAAATTTATTTTAGTTCAAATCACAGCAAACCTAAGCAATAACAAGACTTTGAAATAATTTGTCAAATCAGTTGTCACTCAGCTACTCCTTTCCAGCTATTCCTCATAGCCTAGCAGTTCAGATATCTCCACCTATTCCTAAGCTATCCAAAACTACATTAGGAAGATCTTAGGACAGCATCTTTGGCCCGAATCAGCATTTCGAAAAATATAGGCTTGACTGAGGGCCAAATCCACCAGCACTAAAGCTTAGCCCCTGATCTGCCTCCTTTCTCTCCCACCTACTTCTATTGTTTTCTAGTCCAGCCCTTTTCTCACAACACTTAATCTAGAGCTGACCCCAGGCAGGTCAACGAGGTGCAATTCTACTATTCTCAGGTTTCAACTGAGACTTTAGCAGAAACAATCTGGGGCCTTTAGAGCTGAAATTACAAACTCAAATGCCTACAAGGGCCAGGCACTTGAAGTGAAATGGTTGGTGTATGCTAATAGGGAGTGACGGGATCACCTGAGAAGAGGCTGCAGTAGACAGCCAACCTCCTGCTGGCTGCGGCAAGACTTGCTGTCCTGGGAACCTGCCTTTAGATGACAATCGTGGAGGCTAAATTCCCTTTTCAACTAAGGTCCTGAGACTTAGAGCCTCCTCTCAAATGTAACTGATCACTGCCACGTAAGAGCCATAGGCGCAGTGTTGTTAGAACTTCTAAGTTTACACATTTAAATTTTTATGTAAAATCTCTAGATATTTTAAAGTCGGAAACTGATTTAATCAAAAGAAAAAAAGGCATGTGAGCTAAATAAAACACAGCTGTGCACCAGATTCAGCCTGAGCCCACCAACGTGTTATCACTAATGGTAAACAGTTGAAGCCCAAACGAATGGACAGGCAGACTGCCTATGTATAAGAACAGTATAATATCACCTGCTTCTAATACAAAAGGAATCAGGATTTACCATCTCCAAGATGTGGGTGCTCACACATGCTCCAGGTGACTGCACTACCTAATTATAGGAGACTGTACTTATAATACACCATAATACACTGCCTAGAAAAGCCACTGATGTAAACGTGATTACAAAGCTTATATAGATAGCTAGATATGGACAGAAAGCATTACTTACCTAGCTTTGGCATATTGGAAAGGGCCACATAACTTGGATGATGAATAATTGTAATATTAAAAGTTGCCTTCAGAGCTGGCTCATCAAAACAAGGGAAAACAAACCTGGCAAATGTTGGTTCCAGCTGGGATGCTAGCAGAACCCTGAAACACATTATGGAAAAAATTTTATTTATTTTTATCTCAACCCAGTGGAATAAAAAATATTGAGAGATGAGGGCTTGTAAGCTAGACTGGTGTGTGAGAGGACGTTTCCTCCCATCTTCCTTACTGCCCACCCCATCACACCAACACACTCCAATTCTCATGGCACCTTAGAATTCTCATAAGACCTAAAATACAAGCACACTCGTTAATTTTCAACACAAAATAATATGTGCTTTATTACATTGTAAACCTTTAAAACCTTTTACAAACTGAATAGAAACAAATATAGCAAATATGCAACCCCAGTCTTTTGAGAACCAGGTCTTTATAAAGCTAGGGTTACTTATTTGAGAATGGTCTATTGCTTTCATCTTCCACTAAAGTAAAAGTCAGTGGAAGAATGTCTATATTTTTTTTCTTTTTCTCACATGCCTGCTCTTCTTCCTAGCCAAAAACTTACACAAAGGTTTTATTTTAGACACCCTTGGGAGTAAACAATTTGGGTACATGCTAATTGAACAGAACAACTTTCAATTATACATGAGTAAATTTATCAAATCCCTACTGACTCTTCCTCCATCTCCATGGCAAAATACAAAGAGTCACATTATCTCACCATGCACTGATGACTTACAGGGAAAAGCTTAGGGACAAGAATGCCCTTAGCAGAAGAGAAGATGTCAGGTTCACCCTCTGCAAACATTGCCTGAGACTGATGACAGCATAGGTCACAGCAAACAACTTTCTTCTCAAAACAAAACAAAACAAAACAATCCTGCAGCCTCATTATCCCATTTGCCAAGACTTGCTTACCTGGGAACCTGCTTTTAGATGACAACTGTGGATGCTAAATTCCTTTTTCAACTAAGGTCCTGAGACTGAAAGTCTCTAATACATTTGTTTTTGCATCACCTCCAATTCTTGGATAAATAAAAGGTGAATTCAACAAAGATCTCTCAAGAGGGTATCCCTTACATTACCTAGCTTTGTGATCCCTCCACTGTTATACGGTTGCTGCTTGCATAAAAATTCACACAGCTTTAAGTAGGACACACGGGACAGCTGGCACATGCACACACCTCTCAGTCAGCTATTTTTAGGTGTTATAACCTCACCGTAATAAAAACAATGATTTATAGTAAGCCTATTTTGGCCTATTTGCCTTTGTCCACATTATTATACTCTTAGTTGCATAGACTGGAAGGATCCCTGTGGGCTCTGATACCAGCTACTTTTGCTGAAAGAACCTACTCCAATCCACCTACTACCAACTCTGCACTCCTGGACAAGTCACATAATCTCGTTAAGCCTCAGTTTCCTCACCTAGAAAATAATGACACTATTTACCTGGTACTGCTGTTTGAGCTTTTATATTACCAGTAATTAAATTTACCAACAAAACACCTTTGAATTCTCCTATATCCCTTCCAATCTCACAAACCATTCTTGATACAGATGAAGTATACGAGAAGTCAAAGAGAGATAAGTTACAGGATGGAATGGAGGCTTAGAAATCACTAATTACAGATGCATCTTTAAAAGTCCCAGGGTTGGGGGGAGGAGGGGATGGTAATGGTACCAAAAGAAAAATAGTTAGAATGAATAATAACTAGTATTTAATAGCACAATAGGGTGACTATAGTCAAAATAATTTAATTGCACATTTTAAAATAACTAAAAGAGTATAATTGGTTGTAGGAAAGTGGATAAATGCTTGAGGGAATGGATACCCCATTCTCCATGATGTGGTCATTATGCATTGCATGCCTGTATCAAAGTATCTCATGTGCCCCACAAACACATATACCTACTGTTATACCTGCCAAATTTAAAGTAGAAAAGTTCTAGCGGTTATAGCCGGCCACAGGTTAAACATGAGCCGTATTTGTCTCCCTAGTAAATTTGAAACTGCTAGAAATTAGAGTTAATATATTTTTTATTCTGTATCATTTACAATACTTGGCAAAAATCTGGGTTCATAGCAACTGCATAAGTATTTTGCTTAGCCAAGTACTAGTATAAAAGAAAAACAGCTTGATATTAGTATATACAAAAGAATATAAAGTACTTTGGCAGAGTGTGTTATACTCGCATTTGTTTTATGGTTTTGGTTACTGTCTGTAAGGGGATGGGACAAAGTAGAGAAGACTCAAGCCATTGACAATATAGTGGAAAGAATAGGAGTCAACAGGAAATTCAGTCACCTGAGTTCTTGCTTGGAATCTGTAGTGTAAAGACAGTTGTGTAACTTTGGGAAAGTTGCTCAATATACCACTTAAATTTTCTATAAACTGTAGATGATCTCTAAGGCCACTCACAGCTCTAAAACTGATTCTAAGAGGGATTAAGATATCCAGGAGGATGGAAAATGAGCCCATGAGGTGGCTGTGACTGAGTCATCTAAAGTTGGGAGAAACAACCCCCTTCCCTTGCAGATTCGTGCATGGCCTTCAGAAGGTCTTTGAGCCCTCTGAAATTATAGGACATTTTGTACAACTGGTGGTATATTAAAAAAATACATGCTCTCTGAGGGATTCTCTCCTATTATAAAAAATATATAAACACATATTTTTAAAAAGCCAACAAATGGCTATTGTCTTTGTAAAAGAAACTATAGGAAGTAAAGCTTGATCATACATTTTTAGCTGCCATGACTTCACAAAGCTTATGAATCTCAAAGAGGCTGCATGGTGGAAAGTGGGAAAAAAATTAGACACTTTAAGGAAGTGGGAAACTTTTATTCTTCAGGTTCAAAACGTGAACCTGGAGCATAAAAGCAGGTGGGGGCACCAGCTTAAAGAGTCACCACTTTAGCAAATCAAACATCAAGCAAACATTTTCCAATTCCATAATTCAGGTCTCCAAATAAGTAAAATAAATGAAAATCTCTTGCATTTCATTCAATGATTTCCCTCCCTAGTTTTACACAAACAAACAAAAAGTTAGGGGGAAATCCCTACAGCATACAACCTTTGGCTCTCAACCTTAACTGCAAAAGTCGAGTCTAACCAGCAGCGCATCAGATTATGCCACCTCTGGAAACCTCACAGTAGTGTTTCTTTCTGTTTTCTCTGTGCTTTGGACTCAAGCAACCCTGCAAAGATATTCTGACCTCAGAAAACCCAACCATCCACCACCCTCTCTTCCCTTCAGATCCCACTGAAACATGCTATTATGGTGTCCATTAAGTCTGTGTTTAGAATGGTCAGCTGGTGAGGAAGTTAATTTGGGAGAATCTGTCTCCTTGTGGGTCAGTATTGCAGAGCCACTTTCCTGCCCTCCTGTCTAGAAAGAGAATAATGGACTCACTGCTTTCTTGTGCTGGAAGTGGATCATGGTTTCTTCATGATTAAGAACCACATGACATTCTTGGAGAACAAATCTATTACCATATAAAAATATCCACTACATCCACTCGGTAAGCGATTTCATTCCAAATTATTTTATGAACTTTGTATTCCTACAGCTCTAGTTAACAAGTGCTGAATAGCATAGCTGATCAAGTATTGAATAAAACTCTTAGGAAAGTTGTCCTCCCCCGCGGTTTTTTTACACAATAACACACTCAGAAATCAAAAGTTTTAGTAGAGCCAGATGTTACCCCACTGGACCATGGTTCAAAGGTTGGCTTATGAATCATGTTTGTTTATAACTTGTGTAATAGGATCTGAAAACTGAAATGTTCACCATGCAACAAGACATAATAGATGTAAAATTCCAGAGAAAGGCACCAAAATATGTTACAAAGATACTCAAAATAAATGGCCTTGAGAACGGTGGGGGGGGTGCCTGTTGAGCTTCAGCTAGATGAAGGCTGCAGAAGAAGGGTCAGAGAATAGAGACAAAAGAGATTGGAGAAGATATCTCTTGATGGAGGGGAGGGGCAAGCATTATTTTGCCAAGCTTTCCATGCTCTCAGGGAATTGTGGGGAGGGGCAACCTTCTAACTGGGCTTGGAGGAGAGAATCCCTCACAGAGCAGTGGAAGTGTTTCCTTAGGCTAAGAGGCTTGGAAGCCCAACTCACTTTTGAGAAAGATGAAATTGACAGTATGGCCAGAGTCAAACTCCTACCAGGTGGCGATCCAAAAGGCATGAGAATAGCTGACTTCTTTGGAGTGCTGCCTTGGGACTCACGCCAGTCCCAGGCCAGGGATGCATGAGTGTTCCTTGCAAGAGCTGTGTCCCCTACCACACAGAGTAAGTCAATAAGGGGAATGTCTTGGGTCAGTTCTATAGAGCCACCTGGAGGAGGTTGGAGGAGCTTTGGAATACACAGCTCGGTGTTCAGGGGCTAAGGAAGAAGTCATGGTGACTATCAGAACAAAGACATAGGAGAAGTTCCTGAGTCAAGAAAATTGTAGAAAAAAGAGGGAAAACACTGAAGAAGCCAGGAAAACGACATCTCAAGGGAAAATTCATCTGTAAGACCAGAATGAGACCAAATGACAACAGTACTAGTTCAAGTAAGAAGTGTCCTATTTATCACCTCTCCCTGTCACCCCCAGCCCCACTGGACTCTCATGGAATCAAAATAGCAGCTATCAGGATAGGCAAAGAAGAGTAGAAATGTGAGGTAAAGAAAAGGAGACGGATTACACCCTCTAAATTACTGCCAGTTTCGAGCCTAAAGCCAGCCCAAGAGTGGGAATGGAGCATGGGAGAGAATGGAGGTGGGAGAGGAGGTTTAACAGCAAATTAAGTTCAAAGGTTTGACTATTACACAGGATTGGATTTTCTAATTTTTGCATCTGACTTATTTGTGACTTAGTGACTGTAGATCATCTGTCACCTAAAAATAAGCAGGAACTTATAGGCTGCTGGGGTCCTCATGCAGAGCAGAAAAGTTACCCCACAGACTAAATTTCCCACTGTAAAAGGATAATAAGAAAAATAAAGTTTTGTTTTTACTAAACTATAAGCTGTGCTTTTTCAATATGCTAGCTATACTTACTTTTCAAAAGACACAGGATCTGAATTTTTGCTGTGCAAAACCATC